ATTAAGGCCGCTTTAAAAATTTAAAACCGAACTATACTACCCGATTACTTTATTGTAGTTAATATAGTGTATAATATTATTATCGGCTAGAAATAGTTCAATCTCTATGATATTTAAATAAATTATATTAACTATCGCTTATTTTTCCCTTCAAAGTAGAAGTTAGACCGTAATTAGTTAAAGTATTTTAAGGTTTAAGATTCGCCCGCTTCAATTAACCTTATATATTAGAAAGACGCTGAATATTGCGATATATTAATAGTATGGAAAAATAAAGGACGAGCGGATGGGAGGAATAGTAGATAAATAGCTCTTTAGTTTACTAGTAGTTATATTTTGACCGAATTTATCCTTTATAATTAACTTTTTCCTGACTATTGTAAGAAAGAATTCGATTAAGAGGTACGAAATTAATATAGACGCGAAGCGTGTTAGTACTGGAAGGAGATTGAGAAGTGTATCTTCGAATTTAAAGCTGTTTCCGATTTTGAATTTAAGATAGTCTTTATTATTCCTGAAGATTTCAAATATACCCGGGATAAAGATATAGAAGAATTAGGTTATACCCGGCCGCGCTATTTTTTTAGAACCTTATTGAGATTTTTAAAAAGATTAATTTATTAAATAAAATGTAACGAAATTTGGTTAATTTTATTTACTTTATAGTATTATTTCTAGAATCCGAATTGCGACCTTATTATTGAAAATAACCCGCCGAGGGTAAATAGGGATTGGATGTTTAAAGGATTCACTAATTAAAGCGCGATAATACTAGTTAGTATATGTATCGCCCTATTTAAATATGCGTATTAAATAGTAAATTTTTATACGGTCTGTTAAAAAGGAGAATTCGATAATTTATTCGATAAATATCTTCGAAATCGATTAGTTTATTTAATAAAAAAGAATTATTAAAGATTTTACTTGGGAATTATTATTCCGTAACGAAAGGGAGTTCCGCGAAGAGGTTATCCGGATAATTCCCTTCGAATACTATAATGAAATTAAAGTTTTTAATAAATATAATTCGAATACGTTATTAGAATACCGATTGTATGATTATAAAATCGAATTCGATAAAAGTTATTGATTGGAAGAATTTAATTATAGTCTCCTATATAAAATATTTTTCGACGAGCTAGAGGCCGTACGGAAATATATTTTAGAAAATCTATTGAAAGGATTTATAGAAGTAAATTTATTTTTTTAGGTTGCGCCCGTCCTATTTGTAAAAAAAAGTAGATAATAATTTTCGTTTCTACGTAGACTATTGGAAATTTAATGCTATTACTTATAAAGACCGTTATTTACTATTGTTAATCGAAGAAACTTTTATTAAAATAGTTAAAGTATAATAGTTTATAAATATCGATATTTGATAAACTTTTTACCGTATTCGAATAAAATTAAAGGATGAGGAATTTTTAAATATAAAGTATTATTATTTGGTTTTATTAACGGGCTTGTGAATTTTTAGAGCTTTATTAATTCGGTCTTGGGTAAATATTTAGGCGATTTCTATATTATTTATATTAACGATATTTTAATTTATTGGGACACTTTAGAAGATTATTGAAATTATGTTTAGAAAGTCCTTCGATGTTTGAAAGAGGCCGATTTGTAAATAAATTTTAAAAAATATGAATTTTACGTTATTAAAACGAAATTTCTAAGTTTTATTATAGGATGAAATAATATTTCCGTTAATTTAAAGAAAATAAAGGTTATTAAGTAGTAGGCTATACCCTCTAATTTAAAAGGAATCTAATCCTTTTTAAGGTTTTATAATTTCTATTGAAAATTTACTAAAAATTACGGCTATATAGCGCGCCCCCTTATAAACCTAACCTGTAAGGAGGAAGCGTTTATATAAATTAATAAATATTAGGTTGCTTTCGAAGAATTTAAAAGATTATTTGTAGAAGCCCTATTATTAAAATATTTCCGTTATAATACTAAAATAAGGGTAGAGACGGATATTAGTGATAGGGTATTGGCGGGAATATTATTATAATTATAAAAAAATTCTAAAGAATAGTATTTAATTATTTTCTTTTTAGAAATTATATAAAGCGTTGTGTACAATTATTTTATTTATAATAAAGAGTTATTCGCTATTATTAAAGCCTTCTAAATATAACGACCCGAATTCGTTAGTTTTTAATAGAATAAACTATTTATAATTATTATTGATTATTAAGTATTAGAATATTTTAATATTAAGCGCTTTCTTAATTTTCGATAAGTTAGATAGGTAAAGTTCCTTTCTTAATATTATTTCGAAATTATTTACCGCCCCGGTATTAAGAATGCAGCTATAAACGCGCTATTTTGCAAGTTTAAAGACTTTAAAACCTAAAAAAATAAAAAGGATGTATATTGTACGCTTTAAATATTTAAGTTCATAATAGAAGGAAGGGTTGAAATTTCTGCAATCGCTTCGATTTCGATAAGAAAGGGTTTTTTAAAGGAATTAGTTCCAATTATAATATTAAATACGGAAAGTATAGAATTAAACCCTATTAAACTAGAGGAATATAAATTAATAAATTCGTTTATAAAAATTAATTACGAAGATAAATCCTTAGAGGAATATTGCGTCCGTATTTATAAATTAAACCCTGATTTCGTAATGCTTGCTAATAAATTACTAATATATTAAGACTGCTTAATTGTTTTCGATTCGGATAATTTACGTACTCGTATTATCAATGAAATATATTTAATACTATTTATAGCCTACCTGGAACGAAAAAAAATTCGAATAATCTTTAAAATTTGATATTAGTAGTTCTATACAGTTAAAAATATTAATAAATTTGTATAGAATTATATAATATATAAAATTAGTAAGGTTCTTAAAAATAAAATACTGGGCCTATTATACTCAATTCCTCCGCTAGACCGAAAGTAAACGTTTATTATTATAGATTTTAAAAAAATATTAAAAAATAAGTACGGGTTTAATAATGTATTAGTAATAATTGACTGCTTATTAAAATTATTTTAGGTTACCCTTTATACGAAAAACGCTACCGCTCGTAACGCTACTCGAATATATTACGAAGGGCTATACTACGTTTATAGTATACCCGAAGAGGTAATTTCAGATAGAGGATTATAATTTACATCTGTATTTATGAACGAAATATTAAAATTAATTGGAACGAAATAGAAATTAATTACCGCGGAATATAATTAAATAGCAGGCTAAGCGGAAATAATGAACGCTTATATTAATTAACGATTATAACCGTTAGTTAATTATTATTAAAACGATTAATTTAAAATTATCCCCGCTTTAAATATTGTATAAAATAATTTATTGTAGAATAGTATAAGTTTATCCCCTTATAAAATTATATTTAATTACTTTATAAAAATACTTTTTAATTAGGAAGCCTATACTTAAGACCCTAGTATTCCCTAGACGGAGTAATTTATTCGGGAATAGATATAAAATTATACCTAATATATTCGAAGGTATATTGTGTACGCTAAGGAAATAATATTAAAAGTATAAGAATAATAGGCGGTGTAAGTTAATAAGAAGAGGAGAGAGCCCGATTTTAAATTAGGAGATAGGGTTATTATTATTAAGAGGTTCTAATTTATAATTACCCGGCCTAGTAATAAATTCGATTTCCCTAATACCTATAATTATTATAAAATTATTGAGAAAGTAGGGTACTCCTACCGGCTAGAATTATTAAGAAGTTAGAAAAGTATTGACGTCTTCTACGTGGACTGCTTACGGAAATACGATAATAACCTACTTCCGGAATAAGTATTCGAATGCTCCGGATTAATTAATACGGACGAGAATGGTAATTTTGAATAGGAGGTTGATAAAATTATGGTTTTTAAAGTAGTTAATAGAAAGTTCTTTTATTAAGTGGATTAGAGAAGTTAGGACCCTAATTTAAAATAGTATCTCGCTTTTAATTTTAAGTATATACCGAAGGTACTTTAGGACTTTTTTAAGGTTAACCCAGATACCCTGGGCCCGCCCCGATAGTTAATGAACTAGTTTAATGAAAATATAAAATAGTACGATAATAACGAATATTCTAAAGCGGAAGGATTAAGGCGTTTATAACGTACTATGAGGAAGAAATAAATACGGTTTTATATATTAGTTTTATATAATTATCTAATAAAATTCGCGGACGAATCTTCTATATAGGGGGGGGTAATATAATAGCGCTGGCAGATTAGGTTTAGGTACTATATATGGATGTACTAGAATAAGGTATATAGAGGATTCTAGGTATAGTACGGTCCAAGGATATAAACTATTTAATTAGCTATACTAAGACTAGCTATAGGGTAAATCCTAGTACGTATAAGGTTTGCTATATAGGTAAAGAGGATGCGAGTAAAGGAATTGGTTAATAGCGACCCGTATATAGGTCCCGCTGTCACTTATATAATTAGGGTATTTATTTAGGTTTGTACGCTTATACCTAATTCTCTTCCTCTTTTCTTTTCCCCATCTGAAATCTTCTATTATAAATGGAATTTTAGCTTTGCCTTCGATTTACCTATACTATGCCCTTGCAAGCAGACAATAGTTAGTGTCCTTGATTCAGGACTGAAGAACCAATGTATGTCGACAATGGTTGCACGACTGATGTGTTCCAACAAAGATCATCGTCATTTTCCCTTTTTTCCATTTTCTCACCTCCAAACGCAAAAAGAAAAATGCAAAAGTTTGATCATTGATATCACCAACACCTCCCGGATCGAATTAAAAAAGCAAAAAGCTAAGTCGCCCAGGTAAGCTTGTGGAACGAACGACAATGCTCCAGCTGCGACTATACGAAAACTGTACCTCGAGTACCCGCGCACCCGGCAATGTTTTCATCAACGGGACGGGAACCACTGCGCCATGAGACCACAGGGCCACCTCCCGTTGTGGTAGAGCGGCTAGGTAACGGGGCCTTATATACCCGCTGGTGCCTGGTGCCCGGACCAGGTCTCGTCTGGGGCGGCGCGGGGCGGGTAGGAGGGGGCGGGGACCGGTTGTCTTGTCATCCGATGTTTGGGGAAGGGGACGTGCCGGCTGGGCGGCGGCGGCGTCGTCGGCAGGAATGATGGCATTGTGCACAATGAATGCCTTGGGGACTATGACCAGATTCGAGAGACCGCTGGGTATCTTGCCTCTATCTATAGCTTATGATCTATATCACTCCGTCGTCATTTCACGACTCTTCATTCTTTTTTGTTCTGCTGCTGCTGCTGCTGCTGCTGATTGACTGCTCTCACAAAGGATGTAAAAGGGTACAGAGGCCCGGTGAAGTCCATGTCGTACCTGTTATCCAGTGTTAGTTCCATAATCGTTGCAGGAAGATGAACACACTGGTTAGTTTACTCACCAATAGTTCACAGCAACACAAATGCCTTCTTGCGAGCAAGATTGGGATACCTTATGATACCTATTTCACAATCATGAATCGGTTAGCAACCTTGAAATATCACCGCCCGCCCCCACACCCAAACAGTGAGTGAGTGAGTGAGTGAGTGAGTGAGTGAGTGAGTGAAGTGATCAAAAAACTTACCACATAGCAGGCAAATAAAGCATATCCCCCTCCTCCAGCGTCACCCTCATCGGCTCCGCCAGCTTCGAATACCGCGTGGTGTTCTCCTCGGGCTTATCGGGGTCCCAAATCGCGAAGGGGACTGTGACTTGTTTGCCTGTTTCTTCGTCGTCCTTTTCCATCACCAACTCCAACTGCCCCTTAGCACCAACCTCTTCCCCTTCCCCTTCCTCATCCCCCTCCCCCTCCCCGTCATCCCCATTTTCTCCTCCTTTTTGCTTCCATGTCCTCCTCACATACCCCCCACTCTCCAGCTCCCTCTCATTAACACAAGGCAAACAATGCGGCGGCAACAGCACAAAGTGTTTCCTGCCCCGAATCTGGACGTAGACGTTTTCGTAGTTGTCCTTGTGCAAAGCCGTTGTCGACAAGGAGTTGCCGATCCAGAGGTTGATGGCTTCTGGTTTAGCTTCTTCGTCACTGAGAGAAGAGAGTGCGATGCGGGCCCAGGGGATGGTTGGGGGGACGGCGCTGTAGAGGGAGGAGTACTCTTGCCGGAGGTTGTCGTTTTCTGTTTTGATGGGTTAGTATGTGATGGATGAGGTGAGGTGAGTAGGAGGGATGAGGTAAGTGGCTTGACTTGACTTACGGGTTTGAGCATAGCAAACCTCAGACTTGCGAAGCCCTTGGGTCTTTTCTTGGTGGATCACATAGGTGAGGAAGTCGCTGAAGGGTTGGTCTTCTTCGTGGGGTTTGGCGAAGACTAGAGAGCCGGTTTGGGGGTGGATGGTTGGGGCGTCAGCGTTTCTTTTGTGACGTACCAAGATGCGTGAGCTTTTATTACTTTACTTTTTTTTTAATTTGGCTATCTGTGTGTGATCAAACATACCCAAAAGGAGTAACGGCAACATTGACAGTCTCATCCCCAAGAAAATTGGACAGATACTCGGCGGTCCATGTCTGGGTTGCCTTCCAGTTTGCGGCACCGCCTCTTACGACGAAAGGGGTGTTTCTGGCTACGAATCTCATAAACTCGAGCGCACTGGGCTCTTCGTGGAGCTCCTCGATGAAGGAGCTGTTGAGTTCATTGTAGGTGACGATCAGGTCTGCAATGGGATCGTGGTCCCGTTCTTGGTGTTTCTCTCCCATGATGTTTACCGATGTTTACTTTCAGCTCGGTGGGGTCTAGACCGAAATGATGATCTTGAACCCGAAGTTAAGATTTTGGCGGTTGTTTTGTTGGCGACTGGGGTGGATCCACCCGACGGGAGGAAGCAAAGGTAAAAAGGCGGAGCAGGCCAATCAGGGGCCGCTACAACCAAGACAGCGGCATCAATGACAGAATAATGGCCTGACTTTTGAGGGTCCTGGGGGTCCAGAGCAGAAGCGATATCAAGTTATCAGTGCAGCCATGTGGTAGTGTGGATAGGGGGAAAACCGATTGCTCCAACATGGGAATCTGTCTATAAAACGAAGCTGATTTCCCATCCCATGTTTCTCATTTCCCATCGACATGTTTTTGTGGTTTTTTGGGTTCAGAGTTGGACGTCTTCTTCTCCCGTCCTCTCCCCTCCTGCACCATTCCGGATCCAAGACTCCTCAGATGCTCCCCAGTGGACAACAAGGGACAACAAGCCACAGCTGCACAGCTAGGCCACAACTTGGTTCTTCCAGTCCCGTCGGTCCCCGCTCCGAATCCCCTCATTGGAAGTCCCAGAGCGGTTACATGCTCCGAAGGCCAATGGATACTCTTCATACACCGATATCACGAGTCGGTCGACGAACAACGGTTATCCCCTCGATCTCCATGAGTGAGGATTAGGAAACAGATAGCGAATACGACGCGGGCCCTCATTGTCGCCCATACCCGTACAGGAGCGGGTCTATTCCGAGCTCTTACGACCCATAGCCATGGATGGGAGGACGGAGGAAAGCAAATGCGCACTAGGGACAACGAGACTTCGCCTCGCCACCCAACTATCATTGGATTTGGAGGTGGATTCGTCACTCGACAAGCATTGCGATATGTAATCCTTTCTTCCCCGCCTCCAGACCGCCGCCCCGGCCCCGACATTGTACCTACGCAGCATATGCCGCATCACGGATGGACACGACGACACATCACATATGCTCCTACTAGCCGAAGGCATTATCGTTTCCAGCCGCAGTCATTGTCGGCAGTCAGCATTTACTGCGCACGTACTGCAAGGTGAGTTTTATCCCGCCTTTTTCGTTTCTTATTTTGACAACTGCCGCGTGCATCATTTGGTATCCAACTGAAGGCAGTCCCGCCATCTCATCACCTTGAGTTGCGGCAGTCGGCGGTGTCTCGTTGGCTGTCGGCGGCATGGTCGTGATGACAGTGATGGACACGTTGGAGGGGCTCAGGCCCCCGACTTGTCAAATTCAGTTAGGTTGCGACTAGGTCTCCACATGTTGACATCATTTGTTCGGCCCGGTGTCCTTCGAATCTTCTCTCGGGACTCTTTCCATCCGGATCCGCTTTTCTTACCTTTCATCTCACTCGTCAACTTCGGTGAAGTCGGACGCAACTACACCATTTCGGTTCCTGAAATTCGAGTCAATTTCTAGGACTCTTCTCGGTCGTCAAATCAATCCCTTTGAAGGGATTTCCAGGGGATCATATGTACGTACACTACAGTACCTGCCTACGTGTAATGCGCCTTTCTGCTGTGCCTTGGAGGTTGGTGATGGAGCCAATTCGGGCTTAGTAGGCTTCTGGTTAGCACCATCGGCGATCTCTCCGGATCCGCACCGAGAAGCAAATTCCCCGAGAATCCAAAGTCCAGTTGGAGTCAGCTGGAGTTGAGCGAGAACCCCTCATCCAAGTATCGTCAATAGCCTGGTACCTGACTCGTCCGTGGTTCGAGAAGATTGCTTCAAAAGCAATGCTGTTGCTGCGCTAGATAGCACAGTGCATATCACTCCAGCTCCCACTGCACTTCTCCAATGCAAATGTTTCGCTTCCATTTCATTGCATCTCTTCCCGTTACCTGTCAGTCAGACCACCGGGGCCGTGATAGCAAACCGCTACCCATACGGCTTTCAGGTTCGCAATCCTTGATATTCGGCAGCGCTTGTTTCACTTGCGGTGGATCTCCTCTCTTGGAGCTCAAAAGTGGACGTGCCCCACGATTCTCCAACTTTTGTTTTTCCTCTTTCGACGAGCTCCAAAGCTTGGAATCTTATGCGACACTAGCGGATCTAGGTGCCTTTAGTCGTTCATGATACAAGTATGTAGCTTCCAAGGACAAAACTCCCGATCCCCTTGCTCAAGGTTGCTATAGGTTCCGCTTAGGTTATCCCGCCATCCACAGTCCTCCCCCCCCCCTTTTTTTTTCTACCGGTATCTACAGTTCACCCTGGCTCTGGCTCGGCTTGGACCAATAGGACTGCCGGAATCCCAAAGGATATAGAGGAATCGGGTAGCCCCGAGATACTAGATACATTACGTATGTACAACTCTATCTCAACCTCTCGACTCCTTCGTTCAGTCCCTTGACTGTACACTACTACTCTCAGCCCTCGACGCCAACGCTGTCCACTCACTCAAAGGTCCACGGCCCCTGCTCCGTCATCTGTCATTTTCTTTCTACAACCTCTTGGACAGCACAGCTCATCTCCCTCTCCTTCCCCCATACCCACTTTTGGGGACCAAACTTTACTACGACCTCACAGAGGACGTTCCATCCCATACCACCCATACCTCCCAGGGCATCTCTCCCTGTGCCACGCTAGAACCGCTCTAGAGTTGGGGCTCTTCTACGTTGGGACTAGGTCCTCGGCTGCATTGCCTGCAGCACTGCGCAGCGTTGATCTTCGCTTATCGGCGGTCTCTGGGATCGATCCGCTTCTTCCATCCCATCACCAGAAAGGGAACGCCAGCTCACCATTTGGCAGCTACCAGCAGTCTCCAGCACAAGTCTCGGCCAGCATCATACTACCCAAGTCTTAGAGGGCACGCGCACAAGCATCGACACAGAGCATCTGGCACTCATCTCCAACCACGACGGGGAAACTGAATCATCTTTGTCACCCTCCACAACCTCACTCACTGTAGCTCATTTGCTGATGGGGATTTATTGACGCCACAGCAACCACTCAGACTGGTCGGTATCATCGCCGTTGCTGTTGCGGTGCCAGTTCGAAGCCGACCCGCTTGACAGGGAATCCCAAAGGGACGAACACCTCTCAGACTAATTTCTGGACAACTAGAAGTCCTAGTCTCTCTTCTCCAGTCTCACTCTAGACCGTCCTTACAGCAACTTGCCACCTCCACTTTCGTCATCCGCTTCGACATCACGGGCAGGATCCTCCCCCGATGCGACTGCGACTCTGTTGACCAGGTCGACCTGTTATCCATCCGCTCCAGTCAGCTGTCTCGATCCTCAGCCAGGGGCAACATATCTATCATCTACCACCGCTGCGACTGGGAGATGTGATCGGCCTCTGCCTGCATCATAACCGAGTCCTCCATCTTTCACAGGGGGCTGACCTAAGCCGTTCGGGCGATTATGCTGTGGTATTTGCTTTACCCACTAAGAGGGTTGGTTATCCTGTATTTCTTTCCCCCTTTTTTTCATCTACTATAGTATAATCATGCTGACCTTCGGCAGGACAACCGAAGCCCCTGTGCTTCCTCCAGACCATCCTCTGCGAACCGCCTTTTCGCGATATGGAACCTGGGTTGCCCGCCATGTCAAGACAGTGCTACCCATGTCGGTAGCGCTCGTCTTCCTCCTGCTTTATCCCATCTTTTTTCTCTACACGACAGACGCCACCAATGTTACTAGCGGGGTGTCTAACCTTCCTCACCATGTCTGGACTGATGCTCAGCCGCTTAGTGAACGTGCTGTCGCAGAGCCCGACGTCATCATGCGTTCCATCTGGGTGCACGGCAGCTACATGAAAGCGCTAGATCGCGAGATTCTGCTGGGAGCTCTGGAACTGCAGAATACACTCCTGGGACCGACCACCGACTTCAACCCTCGCCGACCGCACGCACCTCGTATCTTACCCGATGACCCTACGGTTGACATGACTAGGGACCAAAGGGATGCTTTCCATGTCGTCAATGGTTTGACGGATCAGTCATGGTTCTTCCACTCGCCTCTACAGTACTGGGGTGGTTCTGCCGATAATATCGTTGCAGACAAGGACATCATCTTCACTGTCAACGAGAAGAAGACCCAGTCAACTTCGGTTAACGTAACTTTGCGGCACTCGATTGTCTTCAGCGGGAAGCGTTTCGAAGAACGGAGACTTGTTGCGGCCGACGCTCTGGTTATCACCTTGATTCATCTCAAGGATTCACCCCTCGGTCGACAGTGGGTGAGAAACGCCGAGAGACTGGCTGCGCAGGTGCATGACAAGTGGACAGTCATTCCGCATGACGGCAAAAGCATGGCGAGCCAGTTGTACGAGTTCCAGTTTCGGCCAATGTCATGGCCTGACTGGTTTCTCTTGACCATCGCTTACTCCCTCACCCTGTTTTACCTCCTTCTCAGCCTTTCCAAGCTCCGCGCCGTCAAGTCCAGATTTGGGCTCATGGTTACTATCCTGGCACAGATCGCGGCTTCGATCGGCTCCAGCTTGACAATCTGCGCCATCTTTAAGATCGACCTCTCTCGCGTTCCATACTATGCCTACCCGCTTGTGGTTCTGGCTATCAGTATGGAGAACTCTTTCCGGCTGATCAATGCCGTCATCATCACCTGTTCGTCCATCAGCATCAGCGATAGGATAGGAGAGGCTTTCGGCCAGACCGCTTATGTTGCCGTCGCCAACAGGTTGCAGAACCTGGCTATCCTCCTCGGCCTTTCCAGGATCACGTTCCCGGGTGTTGCTGCGTTCTGCACGTTTGCTGCAGTTGCCATTGCCTTCGATTTTCTCTACCTCGCAACCTTCTTCCTAGCGGTTCTCAGCGTGGATGTGCGCCAGCGAGAACTCTACGAGCTAGAAAAGGCTTCGGTGAGAAAAACCAACGCCGTCGATGAGACCACCTTGCTCGATCGTATCCGCCGGATTCGCCATAGTGGGGCGACCGTATCAACTCGGGTTGCTGGTACCATTGTCATTCTTGGCTTCATCTTGCTTGCGCAGTCTCACTATGCGCTAGAGAGCGGCAGCCAGTGGCTCAATTGGATAATCACGAGATCGTGGAGGGTCGCCGAACCTGTCATCTCCAAGTCCTCACTCTTGGTCGACATCCATCAAGCCAGAAGCCCCACGTCGTGGCTCCGCCTCCAGGACCATGAAACTGCGCGAGAAGTCATCAATGTGGTCAAACCATGGGCGCACAGTTACGTTGCGCGCGTGTACGAACCACTGATTTTTGTGGCAAAGGGCGCCGATCGCATTCCCCACAGCCCGGAACCAATGTTCTTGCCAGCTGTGTACGACTTCATTCACAACGAGATTCCGCGCTTCGTGGTATTCATGTTGACGCTGGTGGCCCTGCTTCTGCTTCTTACCAACTACCTCCTGCAGGGCAATGACAAGCATGCAGGTGATCCTGACCATCCTGATAATGAGCCTCTGCTGTCAGTGCGCTCTCTCAGCCATGGCCATGACCTTGATGTCGTCAAGATGGCTGTTTCACCCGGAAACAAGCTTGTTTCGGTGGGATTGGACCGGAACATCCAAATTTGGGACGTACCCCTGAACTCGCGAACGCGCGTAATGTCAGATTCCGAAACTCCTCTGGAGAATCCGTTCCCGGTCTTGGCTATGGCCATAGATGGTGACTCGAAGTGGTTGGCTTTGCTGACATGGCAGAGGGTCCTGCTTTGGGATACTGAAGAGCAGCAGTGGGGATTATCGATCGAGGTCGAACTAGGTGGCCACAAACCTGAAGCCGTGTTCTTCAACTATGCGAACAAGAATTTGGATTCGCCGTCTCTTGTCATCGTGAGAAAGAACGGCACGATGTTTGAGCTGGACCTTGAAGGTGGGGCATCCAAGGAGTTTACTATATGTAAGACTCCTTTTGCCATGGCGCTGCCATTTGCAGAGCTCAGTAAGTCTAGCACTTTTCGTTTGTGGATACAACGCTTGCTGACAAGTTTATGAATCAGCCACTCAAAATCAACTCAGCCAGTCGCTTTCCATCTTGACACTATCACGTAAAAGCTGCATCCACATAGCAAGACAGCAAGCCGGCGGGTGGACTTCCAAGGAAGTGAAGATCACGACAGGCGAGGCAAAGGACATCCACTCTATCGTCCCTGCACCTGACCTGTCCATGTATCTCATCTGCAGATCCCGCTCGGTTGACCTAGTCGATCTTGAATCGTCGGCCGTCATCCAGACCTTCAACACCGAACTCATGGAGCCACGATCATTGAAGCTTTTGCTCTCCTCTCGTGGAGCCCCGCAACACGGGCTGCCGCCGTTGTCGCTATGCTACATCAGCTTGGAGACGGGCGATCTCGTGATTCAGACCTTCCACCGAGCAGACGAGGCCGACCCCATGCATCACCCCAAGGATTATGCCCCCGAAGCGCCTCGCCAGCCATGGGATGAGGAGAAGGAAGTAAAGAAGCGAATTGAGAACCCAGGCCGCTGGGAGATGCTCCCGAACGGAGGTATCGTAGGTGTCAGACGAGTACCTGTGGCATCTTCGTCGTCGTCGTCACGGCGTAGAAGCTTCCAGGCGGTGTCGTCAGGAGCCGGAGTTGGAAGTGGTTTGCGACGACGTGGAGGAGCAGCAGCAGCAGCAGCAGCAGCAGGAAGCAGCACAGCTGACGCCACTGATGCCACAACTCCAGACATAGGCACGACGAGATGGGAGGCCTGGGCCTTTAACAACCTCGAAAGTGCCAAGACAAAGGGGATCGAGACCCAGCCGCTTGACCAACAAGCAGACGAGGAGGATACGATGTATGATAACTTGTTGGTGTCAGAGCTGGGGCCCATGGTGAGGCTGGGCACCGCGAGTGTGGCGGTGGGGCTTGGAAATGTGATCAAGGTGATCAGTGTTGGACACGAGCATTTTGATAAGGTGGTCACGAGGGACCGGTTGACGGCGGAGAACTTGAGGAATCAGAACTTTGGTAGACGGAGGAAGACGGGGGTGGCGGCTCATAGAACAAGGGGAGGGTTGGGAGGATGTGGCGCGGCTCCTGGTGCTGGTATTTGATTGTAGAGATAGAAAAGGTAACTAGAGTTGGAGTAACGGGTATGGGAATGGGGAATGGGGTCATTGATATAAAGTAGAAATACCAATATGCTCTTTGCTGTTTTGAGTTCACAAACTGTCCTTGATTGCTTCACCAGATGGGCCAGGGTGTCCACTACTATGTACAGCTTCAACACGCAAGAACGCATAGTCTACGATATGACCTACTTTGCTATTGTCATTCTTGATGAACTGTCATTCTTAATGATAACCATACCCACCCTCCTTGTCATCCGATACTGGAACACCTACAAAAGGCGACAATAGCAAGGGAGTTATTGAGCGGACTATGACAATAGGACTCTGCGTGCAGCTCTCCATTCACTATCCACTTATGGCTGGTGGTGAAGCAGGGTCCGGCAGCGGCAAGGTTTCGGCGCTGTCGGGGGCGGGGGGCGGGCGGGCGATGCCAAGCAAGGGCCCCGGCCAATGGAAACCCACCCACATGCCAGCACCAGCAGTGACCAGGTCCCAGCTGAGGTCCAGACGAGTTTCCCTGCCTTGCCTGCCCTGCGACTGCAACACAACGTCAAAGAAACCACCAAGGCTGTGTGTTTGTTGTACCCACCCCGACAACAACCACCTAATTCCACTTCCACTTCCGTCTTCCACTTCTCCCTTCTCTCCTTTACAACGAGCAGCTCAACCACAACATACTTTCTCTTTTCTGTATCGCAACCATCACCTCTACCCGCGACTCAGCCCATTGACCGTCATAACTGTCAACTACCTTTCAGAAGTACTCTTAGCTGTCAACCAGGTGCAAACGGCGCCGCCGACCAGCAATTCACAATGTCGGACTACAATAGCATGAAGGTCCCCGAGCTCAAGAAGCTTCTCAACGAGCGCTCTTTGCCCCAGACCGGTAACAAGGCCGACTTGATCGCTCGTCTTCAGGAGCACGACAACAAGCAGGCGAAGCCCGCCGATGCCCCAGCTGGTCAGTTTTCCCCGATTCGATGATCCTCTCTCCCTGGCTGCGAGAAAGCCCGTCACGTCGCCCTGCAATCACGCACGCGTTTCAAGCTTCCACACTTATACCCCACGATCGCTACCATACCATCAGCACTTGGTCTATGCCCATCATAGAAGAGCTGGTCGTTTGTGTAACCCAGACCGCTTCCAACACGCAACTCACCCAGAACTCACCTTTGCCACCAACATCATCATCGCAGGAATACCAGTCACTAACGCTTCACTTTCAATTCAGCCACCACCAAGAAGGACGGCGAGGCCGAGGATGAAATTGACTACGAGGATGATGACTTCCCCGCTGGCGACAAGAAGGCTACCACCGAGACCACAGAAGAAAAGGCCCCTGCCGCCGGCGCCGCCGCCGAGACCGCTACAGAGTCAGAGCCCAAGGCCCCAGTAGAATCCGAGGAGAAGAAGACAACAGAAGCCGCCCCCGTTGCCGGTGCTAGCACAGAACAACCCGCCGCTTCTTCCACCGAGGGAGAGGAGGCCGCCGCCAAGGACACTACCGCCACCGCTACTACTGCCGAAGAGCCCAGCAAAGCAGAGGAGCAGAAGCCCGCCGAGCCTCTCTTCTCCCAACACCTCCCCCCCACAGACGCCAAGTCCGAGGCCGAGAAGCGCGCCGCCCGCGCCGCCCGCTTCGGCATCACAACAGACGAGAAGTCCGAGGAGGCCCAGAAGGCTGCGCGCGCCGCCCGCTTCGGCCTGGCTAACGACCAGGTGTCAGCTCTCGACAGCGCGTTGCCCGATAGGCCGCGCAAGCGTGGTCGCGGCGGTAAGGAGGAGGGTGTTGCTGGTGAGGAAGGTGGCAGTGAGAGAGCAGCTAAGCAGCAGAAGACTACTGCTGCTGCTCCTCAAGAGAACAAAGGCGGCAACCAGAGGCAAGGTGGTGGTGCTGGTGCTGGTGCTGGTGGTGGAAGGAACAGGCATGGGAGGAATAGGAACAACAACAACCGTGGTGGCCAAAGTCAAAACAACAACAGGCAACAAGGGAATCAGCCCAAGCAACAGCAGCAACAACAGAAAAAGCCTGCTGCTGCTCTTGACCCAGCGGAAAAGGCCAAGTTGGAGGCTAGAGCGAAGCGCTTTGCTGCTGCGTCCTCTTAGGGCTTTGGTGACCATCAGCTAGGGGGATAATAATAGCTTCGGATAGCGTGATAGCGTGGTCAACCTGTAACTCAATATTTTTCTCGCTCTCTTCTATCTTAGCTCTTCTTTCTAACGAGTAGTAAAAGTTTGGATGCAGGGGTGGTTTGATCCCTTATGATCTATGTACAGCGAAGAGAGGGACTTTGGAAGAGATGAACTAAGAGAAGTCATGACAAGAGTCCGGCTCAGCTTAGTTTAACTTTCCAAAACTTGCTTGCTTGCTTGCTTGCTTCCCATCAGAGTGTACGTTTGGCGTTTCGGGTGGCGGACAGGAAGAGGAAGAGGATATGGCTGGTTAAGATAGGTTAAGGGAAGGTCTTTGTATCTAGTGATTTGCGTTCGCTATATCTACCTACATTTATATTAGCTGAACTGTTCGTTCAATATGATAACATGTCATGTTCATACGCGGTTTCTCATGCCTTAGTGATGTCCTAGCGCATTCTTCATGAAAGGAAGTTGGTGATGATAGGCAACCCTAAGAGTGGAAGAGTCCATGGAGTTTGGTTTACACATTGAACTGCCAACATGATTCACCTCCGCGTGCGTGCAGTCCAACACCATCATGGATCCCAACAGAAACACTATACGTCCGTGGGAAACTAATCCACCAGCTAGACGCCGGGAAAGAAGGTACAATGAATTCATCATATCCACCCAACACGAACGCCGACACCAACACCAACAGCGCCTCTCTCCCGGGTCGCTTCTATCAAGGCATCCACAGCCCAAGCCAGAACCACAGCCAGAACCACAGCCAGAACCACAGTCAAAATCGCAACCAACGCCCTATCGCCCCTTTCCCCTCCCCGTCCTCTTTCCCATCTTCTCCCCCCTCCTCTTTCCCCTCTTTCCCCCCTCTACCGTTCAACACCCCATCATCGTCAACGCCAGCATCAAACTCAGCATCAAAATTAGCTACACCGTCCTCCTCCCCTTCCTCCTCCTCCTCACGACAACCCAACTTCAACCCCAACACCGTCATCGCATCCCCCGTCCTCTGCCTCTGCAAAAAAAAAAAAAAAAAAAAAAAAAAAACCTGGGAAGAAGTAATAAAATGGAAAAGTCTCGCAAATCGTAACCACAGGTTTGGAAGCCAACACAGGTTTAGAAGGTTCGAAAGCCCGAAACGTCGGAATTTTTTTTTTTTTTTTTGATGTATTTAAGTCAAGTCACGCCGACGAGGGAGGGAGATGGTTGAGTATTTGGATGCTGGGGCTGGGGGCTGTGGAACAGGTTTTTCAGGGAATTACTCAAGATCTTTTCTGATTTGCCAAATTGTTGGGACGTGACTGAGCTTAGCTAAGTCTAATGCTGGTGCTGGTGCTGGTGCTGATGCTGATGCTGATGCTAGTACGGGGACGGGGATGGTGGAGAAGGGGCAGGGGGAGAGGGGGAGAGGGGGAGAGGGGGAGAGGGGGAGAGGGGGAGGGAGGAGACTGAGACTGAAGAGCAAAGAAGGGAAAGAAGAAAGAGAAGGAAAAGAAAAAAGCGCAGGAGTTACATCAGTTGGAGTTGGAGAGGGCTACTAGGTTGATGATGGAGGTGGCGAGGGCGGAGGCAAGGGTTAGGAAGATGAGGAGGGACATGGAGGGGGAGGGGGGGGGGGGGGGATTGGGCAAGGGGGTTCGGGGACGGGGAATTCGTAGAGAGAGGGGAAGAGATGCGAGAGATGCGAGTAAAAATTGAGTGGGAGGTTCTAGAGTAGAAGAGTACACTAGAAATAAACATGAATATTTTTATTTTTATTTTTTTTTTACAGGTGAAGATAGATAGGTACTCGTCAGTGCACCTTTCAAAATGCAACCAACTAGGGAGTAGTCTAGTAACTTGGGTGAAAGACATTGATGGTTTTCCATAATTCACGACAGACAGCAGTGATGATGTTGCCATCACGCAATTCTAGTATCTTATTCCCAACATCCTCTTCCGCGCTTGTGAAGGAGGGAAACGAGCGAGTATAAGGGGATATGTATGAGTTGGGAAAGAGCGCAAGAGAATTGACGAGGAGGAACTAAAAGAAGGGATTGTCTTTTAGAGATCGTATTCAAAATGTCAGTCAGGTCATGATATGATCGATCTGAGCTGACACTTTTTATTTCCCAGCTCCGGTGAAGGTGAAGAAGCATATCCCAAACAATATACTCCACAGCCTGAGCTTTTGTCCGCAACCCGGGGTCCGGAGCCTTGATTATCACTCAAGGAACAAAAGCCGGTCGGTGTTCTTCTCTGCTACAGGTTTCAGGAATCTGAAAGAATGGGGTTAAAGGCTAAAACAGTGATCATGTCGTCCTGCTCGAGGCAGACGACGGTAATCGGACGGACAATCGCCGTCGGCATCACGAACTCACCCGCTTCCCCCCCTCAGGGCACGCAAATTTTGAAGACAGCCACGCAGTGAACAGAGATGACGAATGATATAGATATTTGTTCAGTGTAGGTACGTACGTATTTGAGCAGCGGTGTTGTATCTCGCGAGCAGTTCTGGTATAACCACCTGGCTAAGGTAGTACTAAAGTAAAAACAAGAGAAAAGGAATCAGCCCCATCCATCCATCCAATAGCCAACCTCCCAAACCTGCCAACCCAACCAACACCCAAACCAACTTTAAGCATAGATGAGATGAGATGAGATGAGCGAGGTTCGAGTTTGAAAAGCCATCACGATCGCTAATGCTCCAACCCTTAGGCCTAATCACCATGAATGACTACCTCTACCCCCATTTGAAGCAAGTGCAAATTTGCAACCCCCAATGTGCTTGTTGATGATGAGAAAAAGACAAAGGAAAACAAACAAACAAAGAAGGATATGAAAAAAAAGGCAACCTATAACACCTTGACTCCTACATGCCTGTTTGTTTGTTGATTGATCGCTCGTTTTTCACCTACTCACGATGACGATGACCTCCATGCATCCCGCACTCAGTGGCTTGTGTCTGGATACCCTTCTTTATAGACCGATGATACAGGTGAGAGCCAACTTCCTTTGCCGGCGCTAGTTTCCCCTGCCTGAGTGTGTGTCTTGTCTTGTCTGTAATGATGAGCGGTATGCTTTTCCGGTTCCCAGTTCCAGGATATGTCACTTCCTCAATCCCTGTCCTTGTCCCTGTCCAAGGGATCCTCATGATAATGGGCACCTGTGCCTTGACGATGATTTGCTGCGGCACCAGCGCGCATTGTGAGTTTTCCTCCCATCCCGATTTTCAGCCCTTTAGCTCGAGTCCCTCGCACTTCTTGTGCTGTCACTCCTATCACGTCCAGCGCCTTGTCGAACCGCATCCTGATAGCTCGGAATCGGAGGGCTCGACGGCCTATGAGAACCTGCCCGTGGCCTGTTGTTGCTTCCACCGGTCTGAATCGGCCTTGTTGTGGCCGACGAGGCACCGCGACTCCTGCCGCTGAGTTGGATGAGAGGAGTGTTTTCGCTATCAGAGCTGTTCCTCCTGCTTCCCGGTCGAGAGTTGGCAGGGCTGGTATACTCGGGAGGTGGCTGATCCGGACTGAGGAATCCACCGGTTATGGGCTGCCCATCTTGGTTGACCAACGCTGCAGCACTACTGCTAGGTTCGCCTGCATCCTCCGTGGGTACCAAATGAGCAAGCGAGATATCTGTCGGGCTGCGAACGGGTCCTGGGCTCGTCGGTGGGAACATTCGAAAGTTGCCTGATCGTGTGCGGTTATGAGAAGAGTCGACTGGGGCCAGTCCTTGTCTAGAATATGTCTGCACGGGATGGCTATACCCGCGCCCACGCCCAACCGTGCTGGTAAATCCATCCTTGGTGCCGGCCTCGAGGAGAATGCTGCCTTGCTCGGAACCATATGGCGGTGGCGGTGCGAGCGAGCCGGTCATGGGAGCGAGACCCCACTTCTTAACGTTGGCTTCGATGAAAACAAAGCCAGCCTGACCAAAGTTGACATGGACGATGCAGGGTCCGTTCGCGCCGATCGAGGGGAAGAAGTTTTGCGACTTTAGGCCGTGTACCACATCCTCCAACTTCTTTCCGTTTCGAGTGAAGAAAATCGTGCCACTTCGCGGGCGGTAGCCGACGCCAATAACATCGCCTTGAACAACTTGGGGACCGTAAGAAGTAGCGTTGAAAGGTTGGTTGTAACGACGGGTTCCGTTAGATAGGTACGCGACAGAGTATTTGTGAAAGCCTGGAAGGCTGGTTAGTCATCTTGATCGTGAAAAGAGCGACAGATGTGTACGAACCAGGAAGCCTGAACAGAGGATAGGGTTTGGTAGCCATTCCTATGCTAATCAACGTGTTGTCCGGCTTATCGTAAATCTTGGCCTCCCAGTAGTAAACCTCATTCTGTTTCGGTACCGGCAGGTTGCTCATGACAGTGCATTCGGAATCGAAGAACTCAATCTCAGTGCGGGCCTCGACAAAGCAGTTTGCGATTTCCAGCTCCGGCTCAAACTCCCAGGCCGACACTCCCTTCTCCTGTATGGCAAGATATTGGGAAAGCGAAATGTCCGTCTGCAAGGACTCGGGTGGGTTGGCAGCGATAAAAGCTAAAAGATGGAAATCGCATCAGCAACACTTTTCCGGATGTGGCAAAAAGCCGACAGATGCCTTACCTTTTGCCCTCAAGTATTCCGTCCGCTGCATATCATCCATCGTTTCGAGGGCCTCAGCCTCCTCCCGCAAGAACTGTTGCTCGTCATCGTATTCGCCGGGTCGACCAATGCGGTCGAGGAAGATGCGCCCTGATGTTGTGTAGCGGAAGAAGTAGAAGATGAGGAAGAAGCAACCGATCAGTATCGCCGACCCGAAGGACGATAACAGACCGATGATAATGCCGTTCATCCCGGGACGGTAATCTGGCATTATTATCATGAAGACGGGCGCTTTGTCTGGAGAGATTCCGTCGTCTCTCGAGCAAGTACTCTACGTGAGTATTCGAACAACGGCCGACTGACGTTGGCGTCACCGCCAAGCCTTGAGCATCCGTGACTGCCTGGTCCTTCGTTGATCCCCACGGCGCTTCCAGGACAATGGCAAGCCCGGCGGATATTCAGAGAGTGGTGCGAGGTTGAGCGCGATCGCAACCAGCGGCGGAGGACGGGCAGCTGGGGGGGCAAACAGGTCGAGGGAGATGTAGGGTGAAAAAGAACGTCGGGGATGGTTGGGTTGTTGTCGGCAAAACCTGAAGCGTCAAGAATGCGGAGAAGAAGGCGAGTTGGGCGTCGGTTTGGTTTATGGTGGTTATCGCTGTGGGTAGGTGGATATCCGTCTTAGTTGGCAGCGCAAAACTTAGGCAGACTATCCTCGCAGTCGCAGCGGTGCGTTCGATCCGAAACGGGAGCCGGCGAAGGGAAACCTGACCTTATTAGGTGGACGAGTGGAGGACCAGGACGATGGTTGCAGGTCACCAAGCAGGCAGCTGGGGCTACGGGTCTTGGGAAGCTCAGGGCGGATGGCGGCTTGTGTCGATTGATGTTACCTTGGCGCGCGATGAGGTGGGCAACCGAAATCAGTAAATGGCAATGCCTCGGAATGCGCTCGGTCTAGCGATGTGATGCGATGAAAATATTAAAGAAGAAGAGGTGAGACAATTTACTGCAGAGGTCAGGTACACAGCAAAGAACAAGTTGAACGGTGTTGCAAAGCTGGAACGAAGATGGACGATCAAACCAAGGTCATGAGGTGATAGGACAGAGGGAAGAAAGACAAGATGATGGTCCGGGCAGGCCAACGCTCAGAGCGCCCAGCGTCTAGCGAAGTGCCCACTGCAAGCGTGCTTTTTTTGGTCCCAGAAGGTCAGCATGCTGACACCATGATGATTACGGTTTGTACACTAACTAACAGGCATGGATTCCCCCACTACAAACAGTTAACCCAGTATCAAGTGGCGGGGAAAGGATCCTGCCTATTTCGTGTGGATGTGGGTCGCAAAGGTCTCAAGTGGCGGAGAGCAGATGACGCTCACGACAGGAACGAACAACCAATTCTAGAACCAAGATCACATCTTTTACAACGCTCCTTATCGGCCAGAGGAAGCATCGAGAATATTCAAACCTAGATCTTGATCAGTAAACATCAATACGCTCCATGTCAGGCATCGCCCAGGAACAAACTATTCTAGGAACACTGTTACATGGGCTCGCTGGGGCACCAGGCTGAGCCAGGGTCTTGCTGGCCGCAGCACCGTTTCAAATGGCGCAGTTGACGGCTTCAAGATCTTGACGACACACTTTATCAACCGACCATCCTGATATAGAGATCGGCGTCCGCAGGGGATTCCGCTCAAGCGAGTGTCGTCATCCGTGCGTTTCCCTGGGTTCGAGGAAATCATGCAAGTTGACGGACTTTGAACGAAAGCCGCGACCTCGAACAACATGCTTTTCCGGGGTGCTCTTCCGGACGGGACCCTGAATGGATGGAGTCCGTCACCCGGCGCATCCGGAGCATCTCCGAGACTCTCCGTGTGACCCGGACGTATTTATGTAACAGGATTTGGCCGTTCAACATGCTGTGCGCTTGAAACACCAGAGAAGAAAGGAAGGATGTTTATAATACATTACTTGCAAATCTCATTTACATCAGCTAGCTCTGAACATTATCAAACAGTTATTTGCTTCGACTATAGACTACATACGAAAAAAGAACGCCCGCCTGCTTGTGTCCAGCCAGGTATTTATCAGCCATTGAAGAAAAAGAAGACAAAAAGAACAAAGAAGTTGCTGTTTGTGCTTGTGGAAAGCTCGTTCGTGCAGACATTATTTCTCTTCTTTCACTCACCACCTCAGACCCATCATCAGTGTGATACATTCCTTTCCATCCATCTCTCTCTCTTTCATTTCCAAATCGTCATGATCATCATAACATCTCATCAGCCAGCCAGCCCATGTTCGTCATATCTTCTCTTAGTAACCGCCAACGCTGCTATCCCCATCACCATCCCTCCGGTGATGCCTCCTGTACCCAGCACCGTTTCTCTTCTTCCTCCTCTCCTCCGCATACGACACCTCGCTTCCCACCGAGCTCTCCGCGCCGCTGACGGGGATGTGAACCGGGTGCTTATAGACCTTGTGGCCGCTGACCTCGCTCTCCGTCAGCGTGCTCTCCGTCCCCGTGTAGCTCGACGGGACCAAGGCGCGTGACGTACGCAGCGGCGGGACTTCGTCGACCTCGTCATAGTCGTTGTTGTTCACCCGAGCGTACTGTCCGTTGCTACCCGTGGCAACAACACCCTCCTCGTGCTCGTGGACATCATCCAGGACACTCTCGCCCCGCTCGTCGATGCGGCGCAGCGCGATGGACGATTCGTCGCCCACTCCGTGCTGCCAGCTAAAGTCCCGTTTCGACGACCGCTGCTCGCGCTCACGCTGCCCGGCTGCTGCAGCCGCACGATCCCGTTCCCGCAGACGACGCGCCTCGGCCCGCAGCCGTTCGGCTTCGCGGCTGGCGTTCTTGTCGGCTGTCGAGTACACCTTGCGAATGCCGCCCGTCTTCTTCTCCTTCTCGCGCTCTCTCTCAGGGTTACGGTCATGGCCAAGCTCCCGATCACGCTCCCGCTCCCGCTCGCGCTGCTCACGCCTCTCCTTACGCTCCGCCTCCTTCCTGGCCGCGCGCTCCTCATCCCGTTCCTTCTTGCTAGGGCTCCGCTCGTGCTTCTCCTGGTGCTTTAACAAATCCGACGTGACGGTGCTGCCGCTATCAACAGTCGAAGTGCCCACGCCGCTCCAGCTGGGGTTAGTCGAGCCGTCCCACTCGCTCGCCTCGCTAGCGACATTGATGCCACCGACACGGGCGGGCTTCTCGGACCGGTAGTTGCGCAGCTGCTCCTGGGCCAGGGCCTCGGCCTCCTCGTCGATCATGATGCCGTCGGTGCCGACCTTGCGCTTGCTCCGCTTCTTATCCTCCTTCTCGCGCGCCTTCTCCTCGCGCCGGCGTTCTTTGTCGCGCTCCTTTTGCTCGCGCTTCTTTCGCCGCTTCTCGCGCCCGTAAATGTCGGACACGCCGCCCGTGATGCCCGTGATGCCCGTGATACCGGTGGTGGCGCTCACGATCGTGGTGTTGTCCATCTCCGTCATGCCGTCGTCGTCCGCCACGTCCTTGTACACGCTGCCGCCGCCGAGGATGGTGCTGGGCGTCGCGTCGGTGTAGATGGTGCCGTTGGGGCCGACCTTGCGACGCATGACCGTCGACTTGTAGTCGTCCCAGTCGTCCTCCCTGAAGTAGAAGCCGCCGTTCTTGGCCCAGAAGAAGAACCAGACGCAGCCGATGACGATGGCGGCGCCGAGGATGCCGAAGAGCGCGAACATGGCGTTGTTGTTGATCTCCTGAGGGTGCACGAGACCCTTTTCCGGGTCGGGACGGTCATTCTGCTTGTTGTCATCGCGGGCTAGAAGGATGGCGCGCGCTGCCAGAGGGCCGAGAGCCGCGATGTCGTTGCCGCTGACGACAAGGCGACGGGCCATGAGGGCGCGAAGTACGGGTGCCATGGTTGCGGTTTGGCGTCCGCCGTTTTTGGCAGAGACGGAGCCCAAACTTAGCTGGTGAAGAGCTGGTCAACCAGCCAAGCTGAAGAGAAGGTGAGCTTCGTCGATCGGTGGAATGGGTTTACGCGCTCTGGAGGCTGATGCGCGCGGTGAAGCTAGCTTCTGAAGGAGTACGGCTGCTGGAATGGAAGGGTTCGATGGAAGAAAGTCCAAATGCTTGCAGGACTGCAAGTCGATGAAGGTTGCTTGGGTGAAGAATGCAGGTCGACGAGCTGCAGGCGTTGGCGTAGCCGTAAGCGTCTGTCTGTCTCTCTGGGCAGGGCCGTGTTTTGGCGCTTGGGGGTACCTGAGAATGTTGTTCACCCAGAAACTGGGGGGCTGGGGAAGGACCGGGGCTGGGCAACTGGGCCAGGGCAGGGGTGGCTCAGTTCTGTTCGTTGGTTGTTGTGCCCTGCTGGTTGGCTGGCGATCGTCAGGTCGTAAACTTGGATTCGGTTGGCTGGGGACCACGCAAAAGGCAGGCAGGCAGGCACGTCTGGCACGTCTGGCAGGTTTGGCAGAACAGCCCATCCTGCCCTCCTGCAAATTCTCTCCCGTTCTTTTTGCGAATCGCAATTCCTCTTGCACATACGAATCCCGTTCTCTCCCGTAGTTTTGTTTCATGATTTACCGGCTGTCACTACGTTCACGGCTTGTAAACCTGAAATTCTATGACGTCGTTACAGGTGCCTCCAAGAACACAACAGAAAAGCCAAAGGCTTGGCGCTTGCAGGGCAACAGCGCGTCTGCGCGTGTTTCAGCTTCAACTGAACTGTAAAAGTGGAGCACCCGCATTGTGGAGTCTTCAGTGCCACTGCCGTCGGGTACAGTTAGGACGAAGACATCTGGCACTGGGCTCTTATCGCGATCACTTACACGGTTGTTGCTGCGAAAAGTTCAGAGCTGTTGAAGTGTGCCTCTGGGGAATAATGGATTGCTCTTCAACAAATGGAGCTCATGTTTTTTCTTTTCGATTTATTAAATGACATCGTACTGAATAATAATGGGCCCCCTAACAAGTCACGACGGCGATCAACAAACTTCTTGAGTCGTTAGCAACGAATTCTGCCGGAAGAAGAGCTTGAAAACTCTCCCGTGTTCAACTCCCCGTAATTTCTGGTTGGTGCTTCCACGACGACATGAGATTGATTAGTTGAGTTGCTTGTGACAAGTAGTCTAAGTTGATAGTCTAACCTGTAATTGTCATGAACTAAAGGAAGCAGGCTATGCATGCACTGGACAACATTCGTCATTTAGGTAGCAGTGGTCTGTATGTGTTGGCGTGATAACAAATCATCAACACACTCATGTGCTCTTCCTACTGAACCTATATCTAGTCCCGAGCGGGGGTGGCAAGACACCGGGAAGAATGGCCATAACTGCTTGATGAAGAATCAATGTGATTATTACAGAGTGTGAGGAATATGTTCATTTGTGAGATGGGTTCTCGACTTGTAATCGAACAACTGTGACCATGTAGAGGATTTGGAGTGGTGTTATCGACCATTAAGACTTGGTCAACAGGACAGGGACCTAGTGCATTGACATGGGTTTGAGATGAAGCAAGTGACCCTTATAAGAGCAACGTAAAAGGTTATTTAGATAGATGTTTCATGCAAACTGCTCATCTGCTTCGGTTTTGGAACGTATCTTGAGCTCTGCCACCACCACCGCTTTTCCTTAACGAACCAGAAGTAACTGAGATGTTGATCAACAAGTTGGAAACAGAAGTACACAAAAGGAAGAGCCGACTGTGTCGTGCTTAAATAATTATTTTTGCCATGCCAGATATTGGATATCGTCTCTCCAAAACTTTTCCCCGGTCCATCAGACAGTGACTTGCAGCAAGACTAAACCGCCAACCAAGAAGAAAATCGCAGTAGATCCAAGCGAGGAAGCAAGTGAAGAAGATATTATGCCAAAAAAAAGGGAGAAAAAGAAGAAAAAACCATCATCGCTAAACAAAAGGGCCATTCATAAAACATGATACAAAGTCGTTTCTTGCTCGTTCTTCTTTGTCTTTATCATCGTCATTTCATCGTCTCATGATCTCATAATCATCAGATCCAAAACATGAAAAAACATCAGTCGTAACCTTCGTCTATGACCCAAGTCATCCCTCAGTAGCGATACGTAGGAGGATCCGTTGGGTACTCGGGATAGGCCGGGATATAATCGTAATCGGTGCCGTCAACGTCGCGACCGGCATAATGCATTGATCTTGGGCGTGACCTCGCCCGCGAGGCCGCGCGAGTCCTGGTCTGAGATCGCTCAGCCCGAGGACGACGTTCTTCATAGTGCTGCTGGCGTCCATCCTCGATATACCGAGGCTGGCGCTCATCATATTCATCCTCGTAGTCATAGTACGCCTTCTCACTCCCGTTTCGCCCAGAGGTGATGGCGTTCCTTGAGATATTGATTTCGGCTCCACCAGCGCACTTCAGCTTCGCGCCGTTTACTTCGAGCACGGCACCCTTGCCCTTCATCACCCGAATGGTGACATCTTCATGTGGATTGGCGCTTGACCGCGTGGTTCGTGTTGTTGCCGAGTGCCTGTAATCGCTCTCATCACGGCTTTCTTCCGAGCTCTTTGTGGAACGACTGCTGCCGCCGTTCCTTTGGGCTCTGCGGAGAGTTTCTGCCGTGAGCGGCATCGGATCACCACCAATTGTCTCGGTCTGGTACTTGGCGGCTTGACGGATTTTTTCTTCGTATCCGCTTCCAGGGGCGGCAATTGACTGTAGCGCTGCTCCATAATACGAGTGTCGCCGATTATGCCGACTGGCTATTTCCATCCTGGATTCCGGGTCTTCGTATGTTCCCGCGCTGACACTGGGTCGCTGCTGGTGCCTCGGTCTTGACTTAGACCGCGCTCTGCTTGCAGCGGGAGCAGGGGTCTGGTACTCGTAAGGAGTTGGCGAAAGGGCAAATAACGCATCGCCCGACTGGTCTTCATCAGCATATCGTGAAGCTCGTCTGCCCGGTGTTGTCGGTACTGGCGGTGGCCTATATGGGTTGGCTGTCGGGTGAGCGGTAGAAGACCTGACTGGAGGGGGCATTCTCCGGGCGTCTTCGTCCCTCGACAGTTTTCTGTGGGAAAGAGAGGGCCGCGGCATCGGTCTCTCGTTCTCTTCGTCGAAGTCTCCCTCCCCATATTCAAGAGCGCGGGAGGTGCGATAAGCCATGGCAGTTCGGGGGCGGCTCGGGCTAGTTCCAAGACTAAGAGCAGCGAGTTGGGCATCTAGGCGTGGATCGAAGGGCTGTGCAGAGAAGTAGTCTGTAGGCTGTCGGCTCAGCGAGCCCGGCGTCGGAATCGGCATTGGTTGCATGGATCCCGGTCCAGCCCATGTTGGCGGAGCAGTTGGATAGGATGGAGGCATGAATTGCGGAGGAGGGGGCGGGGGCCCAGGCGCTGTATAGCGAGCAGAAGGGGGAGGTGGTCGTGTTGGGCCCGTCCCGTAATAACTACCGGGCCGAGCGGATGATTGAGGACGAGGGGGCCGAGAGGAGGATGTTGTCATCGTAGGGCTCACGCCGTAGTACGAAGCCTCGATATCCCTTCCGGTCCTCTCGGAATCCCCCCGTCTGTGAAGATTGCCGGTGGTGTTGGCATGTCGTGGAACGGGGCGTGAGGACGACATGCTGGATCTTTTGGTGCCGGATGTCGACGTTTCGCGCTCTCTTCGTGGTGTCTTGAATGATTCGCTTCTGCGGGGATGTCGCGTCGAGTCGGAGTCGGGCTGGCCGTTTGTCACTATGGGTGAAGAGTCTGACTTCTTGTGCTCTTTTCGTGCACGCCCGGAGCTCGAGTCTTCTTTGGAGCCAACAGAGGCAGCGTAGCGGGAGGTTCCTTGGATGATATTTCCGTCGTCGTCGGCGTCTTCCACAGACGCAATTCTTGAACGGGTCGAACTCATTGGGAACGAGCAACAGCTCGCGAGTCGGTATTTAGGCCACTCGGGGAGGTGGTCCAAGGCAAGTAAGCCTCAAGGCGGAGGCGGGCCGCAGTGAGGATATCCAGTCGCTAATGTAGGGACAGCGAGGTTAGCTTATGCTACGCGCAGTGGATGCTGACGCCAACGACAACAACAAATGACACGGTCAGTTGGGACGAAACGCACGAACCTAAGAGCGGGGGTGATCCTGGAGCGATAACCAATGGTGCAGGACAGGAACAGCAAGGGTGAGGTGGAGACTAGCGTCGGGAATATGGATGGAGTCAGGGCCGTCTCGTCTGATGTTCCAGCAAGCGCTTGTTGTCAGTGTTTAAAGCCGACTGTGGTGTTTCGTCGCGGCGGATGATGCCCAGCAGAAACGCAAGGAGGGATGTAGCAGAGGGACTGTGCTAAGCAACGGAAAAATATTTAAAAAAAAAAAAAAAAAAAAATGTAATGGAGGAACGTGGCTGAGTGGGCAGCGACGAGTTTTATTGACTGCGGGGGTGTAGCCTCTGTGCCTCTGACACTTGGTCCGACTGAGGACAGACCTGACGGGACTGGAGCGGTGCGATGCCTGCTGGGTAGCTGGGTGCTTGAATATTTCCCAGCGCAGTCATCCAGGTCTGTCTGAGCTGGAGCGGGAGACTCAGAACTGGCAAAGCAAAACTGGGGGGACGGGAATGGGGAGACACCTCAGCGAGACACCTCAGAAGAGAAGAAGGGAGGGGGTTGGAGGAGGGGTGAGCGAGTGTGTGTGTGAGTGGTTGACACAGAAACACCGCCCGCCTAAAACACTCACACTTGTATCGATAATGCAGCAACGGCGTTAGCAACAGTGCTCCGGAAAAAAACAGCTTGCTGGAACGGCAAGTTACCGGACAACACTGACACTACCAGAACTTTCGTTTATCTCGATCGTTCCGGACCTTACTCCGGCTGAATTGTTTCTTCTCTCTTCCCTTTACCTTCCTCTTATGGCTTCTTTTATTCACGGTGACCGTAGAGTCTGAACGTCCCATCCGGTGAGATGAGTCGATGCCGAAAGATTCAACGGCGTTGTTCGGGTATCGTACCGTACGGTACGCTACTGTATGACAGGGTGTGCCTCGTGGACCCGTCCTGTTGTTGATCCCGTTGTGGGGGAGGGGACTGGGGGAGATGCTCCAGTGAGAGATGGCTCCAGATAGTGGATCGTCGTCGTCAACCACAAACCCTTGCTCTAAGGTGATCGATCCTCCCAAGACACTTGAGAATCAACTCATCCGAGTGTCTGCTTTAAACCTTGAGGAGATGAGACGACCAAAAGGCAGACAGGTGGGCGGAAATCAGAAACTCGAACTGATTTTCTCCAGTCTCGGACGACAGTGATGATCTTCGCGCGGATGAGCAATCGCTGCTATAAAACTTTTGGAGTAAGCCTGCAGGTCGGGCTGTTTTTGCAAGTTTTCATGTTGGGAATTAAGGCTGGTGGGTGGTTGCTCTGCGCCGATGAGAACAAGAATCAAGCGCAAAGAAAAAGAAGAAAATGCGAAACGATGTCGACGATATCCCGGGAGGATGGGATAGGTAGGCTGTATGAAATCATGGAGACATGATGTACCACTCACCACAGACCTGTTGTTGTCTTGCTTATCCCATCCGTTTCTGCTTCGCCGTCTTTAATGCCCGACCTCTTCTCTTTGGGTATCAACGGTAATTTGCAGGATCGCTTCCGTGCCCGCCGAAAAATAGACAGAGGTCGACACTCTCTTCGTTTGGATGTTCAAAGCCGAACACGATATCGTGGTATGATGGAAACTGGTTTAGATCTTTTGAGGAAGATTTGCCTGGAATCGCACTGAATCCTGGAGAATTTAAGGGAGCAGATGAACGGAGTCCGGGTATGGTCGGTCCATCAAATAATACCGCGGCATCTTGGCTCTTGCCTAACAAGTTCTAGATACCTTCAAGGCAGCCGCCGCCCGCTTTCCAGGCAGAAGGGTCAGCACGGCTATTCGCGTCCATCTGGACTTGTTCGCTCTTGCTGAAGTTGTAGGGTCTGGAATGCGGGCTTCTGCAAGTCAATAACCGTGGACGGTCATTTTCAGATTAGCAGTGTTAAATTCGAGTCATCCAGCTTGGCGTAGGCATGTAATCTCCATGTGTCTCCCAACCTCCTCACGTTCATGAAAGTAACCATGAGCGTCCATGTTATTGAACCTTTAACATTCTCCGTTATCGGGTCAAGTGAGACATGGCGCCCTTGAGGAACCCTGAGATAAAATCCTCGATTGTCAGCATTGTCTCAAGGCAAGCTCGGGAACAACGACTCGGATATCTTTGCAACAAGCAATCCTTCGTTTCGCAGCACAATGCCATGTGCTAAGTATTTCACCTTTTAAGAGACATCTCCAATGAAGTAACTGTTTCAAGCCCTCAAGTCTCTAGTGTGCGCGCAAGTGACGCCAAGGGTCGTTTTTAACAGCCCACACCAAATGCATAAAGACTATCAACCCCTCAATCTTCAAGTCACCCGCCCAGAAGAAACGGTCCTAATGCTTCAAGTGTTGCGAGACTAGATAAACATGCGGCGCAGAGAGGGTGGGATGATTGGTAGGGTGCAATACATGTGCCAGCTTCGCGCATTGTCGCAATTGCGCGGGAGAGGAGCTACGTCTCATGCTGTATCACCGTGAAAAGCGGTTTAACACAGAAAAAATCGAAGCCTCTGTGTCTTTTGCACTGAAGAGCAAGTGACTCAAAATCTTTGTGCCACAGGCAAAGCCATCTTGGGCGGACGCCCACATGTAACGAATTGGACAAATTTCCAACACGTTCCTCTCTGTGCTCCGCATACAAGGCATTGACGCAAGTGCAAGGGTGCAGCCGAACTTTTTGTGCAGACTATGCGAATCTCTGCAAGAACGATGCGGCCGATGATGCACATAATCATTGACGTACCAGGCCCAGGGTGTTCCAGTGACATCACCCTGAATGAGCTTGATTCCCGCCAATCTGGTATCTTCAGACTCGGCGCAGATCCCTCGAAGCCTTCTGGAAAGAATCTCTGAGCCCAAACGTGGCTGAAACATCCAACGAGGAGGAGGCTAAGACGGCAAGCTGTGGACCAAAGAAGGCGCCTCAGATCACCAGTCGTCCAGGCCCAGTCGAGCTGTAACGCGTTTCACCCTTCCGGGGGCACCTGACGATCACGGTTTCGGGCCTTACCGACAGAAACCTGACGGATGAACACCGTGCATCTCTTTGTTCCTTTGAGTAGGGATGGATCCACAGCTCAGAGCTTCGGTCCAAACACAAGGACCCTTTGCTGCCAACGGCGAAGTGCTCGATTTGCGAAGAGTCAAGCGCGGGCTCACGAATGGCCTGGTCGTGGTGTTCCCTTAGCTTGGTCTGCAGTATGAAGGAGTCTCAAGAACCTCCTTGCTCTGACCAAGCGATGCCTTGTGGGTTCTTCGTCTTCGCCTCGTCTGCCAAGCCTAAAGAAAGACAAAGCAGGTATAGCATGAAAAACTGTGCTGTTCTCGATGATTAGCCGCATTGTCTGTAACAGAACGGGGGAAGGTGTGTAGACAGGTAGCCGGCTCACCAAAGCATCGATGCCTAGCCACTGACCAGTCAGCCGTCTAATAAGGCGTTGACATGCAGGTGACCATAGAGGAACCTAACACAAAAAGAAAACCAATGTAGAATAGGAAAACCATTGAAAAAGAAGCGCGCACGAAAAGGTGATAGGGAAGCAAAAGAGAGAGCAACTTCTGGGTCACACCTCCACGTCCAAAAAGACAGGTCGGTGGTCGGACAGGAAGACACCATCATCAAATTTGTTTGAGAGAATTCCAAACAACAGCAGTTTGAGGGTTGGCGGTCTCTGGACAAAGAGGAAATCGATTGTCTTTGGCTGCTCGTCCGGCTCGCCAAAAGACGTGTATGTGATTTTGCGGTTGCCGTACTTTAGTTCATCCGGGAAGACTGCAGATGTGTCTTGAAGTCCTGGGTCCGAGGAAGTCAACGTCTTGTATGCCCGGTCTGTTGGGGTACTGTTGAGGTCGCCGCCCAGCACCAACGGAGGATCAGAGTCTCGATTCATCTTTCTCCATTCGGAGGCCAGCTTAAGAATAAGCTTGGAGCTTTCTTCCCTTGCAATCTGTCCTCGGTGGTCAAAATGAGTGCTCATGACAATAACCGATTTGCCTGTCGTCTTGTGACGGAATGATCCAACGGTCACAATCCTCTCCAAAACAGCGTCCCAACCGACTGACGGCTTTTCTGGAGTTTCGGAAAGCCAATATGTCTTCCAGTCTTCACAGTCCCATTGGTCCACTCGGAAAAAGATGGGTGAGAACTCGCCAGCGAGTTTGCCGTCTTCTCGGCCCCGGCCAATATGAGTCCATGACGGTCCGAGATAATCCTGGATATCGAGAAGTTGTGAGTAAAGGACTTCTTGGAGGCAGAGGAACGTTGAGTCATGACCAGAGGTAAGGAAGTTTAGTTGAGCACAAAGCCTTGGCCGACGGTTAGTCCATGGTTGCTCTCCGGGAACAGGGTTCTTGGTAGCGTAGCGGATGTTGAACGAAACAAATCGGATGCGGATTCGAGCAGAACTCGGGGCAGGCGATTCTGGGAGTGTCATGCTGAGACTCATGCATATAGCTTAGCCTTCGGACTCCAGTCCGTCTCTTAGAACAATCAATCAACACATTCATGACCATCAAGTTTGACTTCACCACAGTGCTGTGTCTGACTTGCAACATGGGATCGCACTTTCCTTAGACTGGCGGTCGGAGGGTATACAGGAAGGAGCGATGGAGAGCAATGGAAAAGAGCGTTGATGATTAGCACTCCCCGTTCCGCCCCTCGTAGAGATTTCGATATAGGAAGGAGCGATGGAAAGTAATGGAAAAGAGCGTTAATGATTGCGAGGGGCGGGGAGTGCTAGATTTCAGAACTTCATCGCACTCGAATTCGACCAAGGTAAGTTCTTTGGATCCTATACTGAAGATTGTGCTCATCGAGGAGTTCAGGACTAACTTGAAAAACAGAACCACTGTAATGGGAATGACGGTGTTTATGACTGTGGACGGGCCTGTCCAAATCCCTCGGAAACCACCAGCGCACCTGGCATTTGAGCCCGAGGTCCTGGCAAAAACTTGGGAACTCCAAGTTCTTCCTGAACCTGACCCCAGGTTAGAGAAAGTGCCCCTGTCTGAACGGTTAAAAGCGCAGGATCCCGAGAAGTTTGCGGGTATCTCTTTACGCCAACCGTCCGACTCCCTATCGACTGGCCAAACACTTCAGCTCGCTTACTGCAACGGCTCGACTCCTCATTCAGCCTCTTTCTCGACTTCTAGCCCCTCTCACCAGGAGGCTGCTGCTGTTGCTCCCCTTCTGCCTCCTCCACCCAAGCTAGGAGGTCCGCGCCGTCACTACTCGTTCCTACCCTACAAAGACCCGTCCCTGAACTCGGCCCCTCCCCCCGTGTTATACCCGAGTCATGAGGTATACCCAGAGGCATGGAATCTTCTGTCCGAAAGCTGGAAATTCTTCAGCGAGGGAATCAGAATACAAGGAAACAATATACATTGGGCTATTAAATGCTATGCCCCCGACCGAGTAGAATGGGACCGCCTCTCTTCTACCATAACAGTCGACCCGACTTTCACGAACTTGTTCGGGAACGGAAAGTTTCCTCTATGTCCTACAATCGCTCAACTCAAAGGACTCACAACCTATACTGCTTCTGACACGCCTGAATGGGCAATCTATCTTCTTGTCCTGGAAAACCATAGAGGCAGTCAACGCCCAGCGATATATGTGGGTAGCGGTACGCATAAGGACTTAGGTATTGCACGCCGCTTTGAGCAATACGATCGCCTGGAAAATTTATCGACAAAAACCCAAGTATTGGTAGATGATGGGTATACGATTACCCATAGGGCTATAGTGTGTACTGCGCCACTACCTCTTCCTGATGTTCACCTCAAACTACGATCGGGTTTCAAACTTCTGGAAACAGTAGTCACCGGGGCCCTATGGGCATACGATGTTTCGCTGTCTTCGGAATATCTACTACTTCCAGACAACTGCCCATGGCCCCGTGAAGCCCTACCTTTCGACGGGCTATGCAGCCATGCGGCAATAGCCGAACCAGTCAATACCAGAAAGAAGGAGCGTGAATTGAAATGCAAGACTTGTGAGAAAATATTCGAAGGTTCGGACAGGTTGCGGGAACATAAGAAGGAACATAAGAAGCCACACATATGTGAATTGTGCAGAAGAGAGTTCAAACGTTGGCACAACTTGCAGGAGCATATGAGGATACATACCGGAGCTGTATACCAATGCCAATTCCCGGGGTGCGGCAGAAATTTCCAACGTTCGTATGACTTGCAGGGGCATATGGGGATACATCGTCGGTTAAGACGCCTGCAGCCAGCCAACCAACTCTATAAAAAGAAGGATGAGATCATCGAGATCGAGGATAATGGAGCTTCCAGTGAGTCGGAGAGTGAGTCGGAGAATGATGACGGCAGCGATTAGGGGTAGATCTGGGAGACTGTTAGTGGTGATCTTTGTGTGTTTCTTTTCTCTCCATGTATTTTTCATTTTTTCTTCTTCATTTTGAGTCGGAGAGTGAGTCGGAGAATGATGACGGCAGCGATTAGGGGTAGATCTGGGAGACTATTAGTGGTGATCTTTGTGTGTTTCTTTTCTCTCCATATATTTTTCATTTTTTTTCTTCATGGGTGGTGACTGATGGCTCCAACATGATGTTGGACTCGATCGTCAACTTCACCAATGGTTTTCGTCTTCATGTCACGGCCCAGTTGGGCTGCTAGCGGTCCCAGGTTGCAGCAATCAGCAGTGCAGGTTCGATAAATAGTTGCACCCTCTTTTTTCTCATGCAAGATCGTGTTCCTGCTTCATGACGAAGCATGACCTATCGGCGCACCTTGTTCCTCGATTTCTCGTCAATCGCTCGATTTCCACCCGAGATCATTCCAGAGGTTTTGGCCTTGATTTCTTCCGGCCATGATCAACGCGCCAACGGCTGCACACCATGCAGGTACCTCAGACCAGACTTGAAAATTCTTACCTCGAGGCATGAACAACAACACAGATATCGTGGGGTCTCGTCGTACGACCACCATCGACAACGACCAAGGCATCGGCGCATCTGCTGGCGTGACCTTGTGGATTCCCCAAGAGCTCAACCATCAACCCTACTGCTCCGTAGCCGGGTAGCCGTGATTCGGCAGCCGTCCAGTGACTCGGTGATGCGGCTCCGTGCCATGTCTCTGTCCATGTCTCTGAATCAAATCCGGCTTATTCACCAGCCTTTACGGATTCACAGCCATCATGCTTGCGAATTGCGCAGTCATCTGGCTGCCCGAGTGGGTGGTGCCTCCTTGATTTCCTCATATTTCGTTGACTGTGTCTGAGCTCAGCAACCCAGTCTCTTGCTGCGCGTGATGCCGAAAAGTCGCGGGAGCCGCGTTTCCATCTTTCCATCACAATCCTTTTCCTGCTTTTCGATATCGAGCCATGGGCTTTTTCCTTCTATCCATTTCGTTCCGAGCTAACCAAGCGATCCCACAACCCCCTCCTTATTCCACCCCGTGATGCCAGGAATGGCACGCTTTACAGGAGCTTTTGGAGTCCTGTCGGGGATAGGCGATCAGAGGCCGGGGCCTGATTGGCTGCAACGCTAAAGGAGGAGGGCGGCCGCCTTGTATTCGCCCCGCCAAATGAGACATATCGCTGAATGGTGACACACCATGTTCACCTCACAAGGCAACGCCTCATCCTGGTTGGCACTAACCCGATGACTGTGTCTGATATTGCGAGAGCGGCATGCGAGACATGCCAGCCATTTCCGGCAAGAGGGTGTAGTCCTCACCGGCTTGGTATATAGCCAAGGCATGCTCGTTCGTGTTCAGCTCGTCAGTCTACACAATCGTCTCTTGTCAGGTGCTACAGAAGCAGGAGAACGTTGGTTTCTGGTAGTGTTTGGCACTCATTTTCTGACAGATTTGTTATCTTGAGCCGGCCAAGCCGGCACCGGGTTTCCTCTTTTGTCACCGCATATCTTTCGGTGGCATCTCATTTGGGTGTGGTGCAAAGGTTCATATATCACAGCAGCCTTGCCTCTACTCCTCGCGAAGGATCATCCTCTTCACCAAGGCCAACACAATGCCTTCCTCTCAATCCTTTGGCCGTGGAGCTCTTCGTGACTCCTGGCCACCTACTCAACTAAGAATCGACCATGGCGACTTTCACGATGTCGACCTATCCAACATCGACCAAGACCCTCTCACTTACTTCCTCACGCCCACACCTGCCGCCGATGCGGTTGATGACGACGACATGGATTTCGACATGGACTTTGACGCCGGCATCGAGGACACCAAACACCCAGCGCCCAGCGTGAGAAGTGTCAGCCCATCCAGCCTCGACGGCCTCAGCCTCCCGCCCCCTCGGCCACCAACACCACCCAAGTCGTCATCGACTCCCGAGCTTGAGTTCGATGGGTACCCCACGCCCGACGACAAGGAAGATTACATGCACCTTGCGGCCGCTGCATTCAACCTGCCTGTTCTCCGCCTGAAGGACCTGACCAAGAAGCCCAAGATGAGGTCTCGTCCGAGCAACAGCAACAGCAACAGCCGCCCAAGCAGCAGACTGGACAACTACAGGGACACCTCGACGGCTGATTATGATCTGCCCCTGACGCCTTCTTCTCCGTCCTACAGCCACTTCGCCAACCGGGGTCGGCCAGTGACCCGGCCGAGTCCGCGAACCATGACTAGACCATTCCGTCGGTCGCCGCACTCTTGGCGTGAGCCCAGCCCGGATGTCTGGGCTATCGAGGAGGAGACGGACGACGAGCTTCACGACAGTGAGATGGGTGACAGCCACCACACGGAGCAGAAGTATGCTGGAGCCAGGAACATTGAGTCGCCGTCGACGGCTTCGAAGGGAAAGAAGAGGGTTCGGTTTGCGCTGCCTTTTGAGCAGTGATTCAGCTCGTGTTTGGGAGACATGGTCTTATCATTATCTCCATTTCCTTTTCGTTCACATGGTCTAGGGCGGAAGGATATCGTCATTTGCATTCGGAGGGCACATTTGCATTTTCTCATGGTTTTATTTGGGGGTTCACGGCGTTGGTGGGTTTTATCCTGTTCCCTATACCCTTCTGTACATTCTTTTCTGGAACTTTGCATCAGGGACGGAACCATCGGGTGTCATCATGTACGGGAGTACTGCATTACCTAGGTATCACAACAGGGTGGAATAACAAGGAAGAGATGGGAGATTGCCTTGAAGTTTTCTGACATATCAGCGGTATAGTTGGCTGGTTATATGGGCGTAACTGGCAAGGGTCTAATTTGTCTTTGAGGGAAAGGGAATGGGAATTGGGTGGAGGACATACGTTTTTTTTAGATACATATCTGAGGTTCACACCTCACGGCTTTCTGTTCTACTTAGTTCAATCAAGTACACTTTATCGAGGAATTTTGCCTTCCACGTGCCAATATTCACTGCATCTTTAAGACCCTGCTTCTAACACCGAAGCCCCTCAGTAACTCAATTCGGAAATTTAAGTGTACACTATCGAAAAGCTATCACCACCCTAGACGAAAGGACTTACATGACGGCTCGCTCATGCAAAGCTAAATAGGGTTACATCCGCCCGAACATAACGCAGTTGAGTCTTGCAGTCGCAGTCGCAGTGAGTAGTGTAAGATCCACACTCAAGTCTACATTGCACTGCCGTGCCGGATTGCAGTCCGGGCTGCATGCCTTCTCCGGCAAGAGATCGAAACAACCCCAAAATCTTGAAATTTCTCGTGACTCCGGTGCCGTAGGACCTTGCTTTTCGGGTACGCCGACCCTATGCTATACTCGGGTCGGCTTACCTATATCTCCCGTCCGTGGCGGTCGTTATCTCACCTGAGGTGGTTTGTTAGGTGAGATTGCTAATTGAAATCCGTATCGTGTCGTGGTGGTTGCAGTTGCTAATGATGTCAGGTGCCAGAACCACAATACCCACCACCCAGCGGCCCAGCCCCGCTAAACAATCTGCTGACAAGGATGACCCACCATTGCGATCAATCGTGCAACCCGAACGGCGTTGAAGGCCGCGGGTAGGTGATGCACAAAAAACACCGAATATCATCAGCACAAGGGACATTGACCTTATTGTTGTGGCCGCTATCAAGCAAGGCAGCAACAGTCAGAAACCTCCATCAATACTGCATAAGATGCTGCCAACTTTGAAGTATGTACTTGACGGCCTTGGTGAGTTGAAACTTAGTGCCGTTGTGCTGAGTGTGGTTCGTTAATTGGAAGCTGTATGTTGGTGTTAAGGCGTGTTCAGTATTTTTTGTTCATCACCCATGGAGCTTGGGCCACTGCACAGGTTCACAGCAGGGGACACACAGAAGGAAGAAGGGATGAACGAATTGTCGGAGCGGGAACTCTCTGTGCAGTGACTGAAGCTGCAGTGCAGTGCAATTCATTGCGTCCCGTCCATCAACTTGAGCTTCTTTAATTCTCGTGTATCCTCGCCGCGGCGACGCCAGGTTTCATGTGCCTCATGTCGCATATCTTGAGGTTACTTCCATTGGCTTGCACAAGGGGCTCAAGGGATTGTTGGTGAGATATTCGACTTCCATGGCTGCTGCCCTTGCGTTAAATGTTGGTTTCTTGGACAGCAGCGAGGGCGGAGATCAAGAAGAAGCCAAGTCTACTTCTCACGGAGTGAAGCCGGAGTGGAAGCGAGTGTGACAAAACAGAATGGCACCAGCCCAGCCCCCACCAAGCTTCCCGCTCTGGTGCATAATTACCAGCCCAGCCGCAGGAGAACGTCAGCGGTGGTTCCAACTTCCAGAAAGAAGTCGGAGGGAGAAACCGGTCGATACTGATAACATGGTGGATGCGCCAAAGTGAGGGATCGATTGACCGAAGGGTGTGACTGCTCTTTTTCACTTTTGGAGACTTGATTCGGATGGGCTTCAATTGTCAATGTCCGCAGTCCGCAGCAACCACTGCACCCACTTCGTTATCATTGGCGGCATTGGCGGCCACAGAGAAAAGATAACCTCATCCTCAGCCACGAGGGGGATTGGTTACGGATTCCGGATATCTGGACGACCTCAGCAAAACAGAAGCTCAGCTCTTCAAGCCCCTTCACGCTCGCTCTTTTCCCACAACACGCGCGCCAGCCAGCCTATGATTGTCTGACGATACCTACCCAAGAGGTACCAGTATTCGTGTTGCACCATTCACAGCAACTTTGCCCGTCGGCTACCTGCTCGCACAACCGAACCGCGTGGTCGACAGCTGACTCCCTCTCCACCTAAAGAGCATACCCTTACCCTCTGTACGTCTGTCCTGCGGTTACCTTGACTCTTGTCTCTATTCTCTGGGATATACCGTGTTGCGCGTGTCTTGATTCCCAAAGAGAGACTATATCACCTGCAGCCCAAGCTATTTCAAGGGCCAAACTCAAAACCAGAGCTGATACGCTGATACATAGCAAACACCTGCAAAGCCAGGGCTGAAGGTTAGAATTTCACCACCACGCCGGCCTCTCTCCACCGCCTTTCGTCGCGGAATTCGTTCCTGGATTCTGGAGACATCCACGTATTTTCCACGCAGGCTGGGCGGAGTTGGAAGCGCTTAGATCAAAACTAGTTCTAGAAGCTAGACCTACTGTGGTTTGTCACCGTTAGCCAGTGGGGCCCCTGTGGGCTCCTTCGATTCGACCCAAACTGGACATCATCCCATTCACCAAGTGTGATTTTCTCCTTCATCTCTTCTCGCGAAACCACGGCAACCGCGGAAACGCGCATTCAGAGAACCTGACTGCGCGCCTCGTCAACTTCTCCATGAAACTCCGGTAGCGCCCCTCAAGGTTCAAGGTTGTGTCTGGACCCTCAATGCGGACTACCAGCATGCGGGCTCCCTAAGGTGAGCGCCAATTCTTAGGTTCTGCCAATAAAGTCAACAAACAATATGTCGTGGTTGCCATCCATGGCCAGCGCAACATCAATCTTTTGTCGCAACAAACCGCTGACACTTAGTCCATGATAGACAGAAGAAATGTCGCCTCCAAAACCAAAACCCGACAAATCTCCATCACCACGGCCAAAGACCCCCAAGATCACCCCTACAAACTCCAAGAATGGCGCGCCGACAACCTCACCGACCAAGTCGGCCACGGCGCCGGGAGCCACCACTCCCAAGAGTGTGCCGATACCTACCAATAGCGGCCTGTCACAGCAAAAGAAGAAGCCCGAACTGAAGAAGCCCGAACCGAGTCTTCTGGGTGATTTCTTGCTCGGTCGACCATCTCCGCAGCGCGTAGCCGCCCAGCGCTCAGCCTCGATAAAGCGACGAAAGACCATGTCCATGGATGCTCAGAATGTTCGAGAGGAGCTACGCCAAGAGATGCGCGCCGCAGCTGTACGGAAGCTACAACAACCAGGTGGTGTTCGGGATCGGGTCAAGGCATGGCAAAAGGCGTCACAGGCAGCGGTCAAGGCAGAGGGCCTTCCTATCCCGGTAGCAGAAGATGCGGGAAGCGAACCGACCGAGTTCGCTGTTAACCTGAGCGGCGATGACGTGGATGAGGAGGACAGAATGAGGATCAAGTGGCGGCAGAAACCCAAGAAGAAGAAACCAAAAGTCGAGACGGTGGAACCCAAGGGTGTGAGTGGGAGTGATAGCACTGCAAAGGAAAAGAAGAAGGTGCCAGGGAAATTAGCCGACGACAGGCCCGATGTCATTGTGAAGGAGGCGCGACCAAGGCCCGGGTTGCCGAAGAAGAGGATCATAAGCGATGACCACTGGATGAAGAAGCAGCAAAAGGGAAAAGGGCCTGCAGAAAATCCGATACCTGAAGCAGGCCAACCGATACCGAAAGACTTTCTCAAACGAACGGCGCAAAATCCCTCGGTACAAAAGAAGATTAGAGATTGGGCTCAGAGGGTAGAGCTCCCGCCGCCCCCACCACCGGTTACAAAGCGCCCAACGGTCAAGAAGTATCGACATGCCAAGACCGGTGAGACGGTCACGGTTGAGGAGGAGGAGGACGACGATCATCACCGCGGGGCACTGTCGGAACCAGATATGCCTCGTAGGAAGCGCTCTTCGTCTGGCGAACGTAGGAGGGCAAGCCCAAAGCCAAGGACGCAACAGCGTCCACCCGATGATGGAATTAGGGTACGTCCGTTGCGGACACGGGGCTCCAATGATGATGGTATCAGGGTCCGCCCCGTGAAGCCCGCCCGCTCACTGCCAGACGTTCGCCCTGGTCCTCCTGTCTCTGCCGACAGCAGCAGCGGGTCTACTTCTACATCTAGTCCCTCCTCTTCGTCCGGACGGACACCGAGTGATCGGCCCGGTAGCAGAACACCGCCCAGAAGGGCTTCACCTCCTCTTAGAAGAGCCTCAACTCCGCCGCGAAGAGCTTCAACCCCGCCTAGAAAAGCATCGACTCCCAAGCCAAGAGCGCGTAGTGATCACTCGGCTGCTTCTGACGATGTGATAGAAGTCATTGTTGAACCTGAAAGCGAAGCGTCATCTCCGAGGAGCCCGAGTCCTCCGCCGAAGAGAAGGCTAAGAAGTCCTCCTCCTCCAAAGAGGAAGTCGCCAAGAAGAAGGGGTTCCCGTGGTGGTGTGCGAAGAAAGCCGAAGCGAAGAAGTCCTAGCCCACCAACTACTGCCACGCAAACAGAAACTACAACGGATGACAGGCGACCGGGCGCTGACAAACCAAGGCCTGCTCCTAGGAATGGTGTATCATCCGGAGAGGATTCTGACCGGCGCCCACCAACTGCCGCTGGCATTGATGATTTGGCAGAGATTCCGTTTGGCTTTTCGGCGTTTAGTGAACTGGACCTCCCGTTGAGGGGGAATCCCGGAGGAACACATGCCCGGCAAAGTGCGAAACCTAAGCCGAAACCTCAGAGGAATGAAAGCCTCAAGCTAGTACCGAATGTTCTCAAGAAGGTTATGACCGGCGCCATGGAGAAGATGCAGGAGATGGCGCAGGAGATGGCGGAACCGCCGAGGCCTCCTCCTACGGGGAACAAGCCCGCTAGGATCGAATCTTGGTTGAACAACACGGTTGACCCTTTCGTAGAGGGTATGCCAAACCTACCACCAGTTGTTGCCCCCGAACCCCTACGAGTCTCGACCCCTGCGCGCAATTCCAAGGAGAAGTTGGTCGACAGAGATTTGCCGGCTCACAAGGAACGGGCTCCCGAGATTTCCAAGCGCGCTTCAGCAGAGCAACCGCGCAGGAAAGAGAGACCTCAGACTCCGGTAACCCATGAAGAGCCAAGGAAGGCTTCAGAAACTCGATCGGACGATAGCGAAGTAACTCCCAAGAGGAGAAAGAGTCCTACAACCACCCCTGATTCAGCGGCCGTGTTGAAAAGACGCTCGACTCCTAGGAGCCCGACGTTGCCACGGAGGAGCAGTGGCCCCGTGAAAAAGCCCTTCCGGGATGTGTTGAAGGAGGCCTTCAAGGGTGAATCCAGTGCGCACAAGATAGCTCCTATGGTATATCCCAGCTGCGAGACAGACGTTGAGTCTGAACCAGAGACTGAGGATGACTTGGAGTCCAAGAGAAGCCCACCGCAGCAGCGCTCCCCTGACTCGTACAAGAGAAGATCAGCATCTCCAGATCGCCCTTCCACAGCTGATTCCTATTCCTCATCAGAACCTAGCACGCGGGGTCCCCCACGCAGAAGACGGCCAACGAGTGGCGCTCATGATCTATCCACCATACTATCTGAGGACTCCCGCGAAGATCAGGAACCACATGGCAAGAAGGATACGGATAGCGTCTCCACTGTTTCCCAGTCCACCGTGACACAGACTCCCGAAGAGGCGTTCGGCCAGCCGACACCCCTCACCAGAGAAGCGAGTCAACAGTCACAAAACTCCCAAAGATCCCGCAAGTCTGGCAGCTTGAAGCGCCGACTTACTACTAAGCACTCTGATTTGGTATCAGTGCTCTCACTTCCCGACGATGGCCAGCTGGTCCCACCCAGCCGCTCAAGAAGCATCAAGGCCTCGCGCAGCCTTCATAGAAAGCCTAGTAAGGCTAACGACAGCAGGGTCAAGGATCTGCTAGAGGAGTTTGCCGATGATGAGCACTTCTATCACCGAGAACTCAAGACCTTGGTCGACGGTGTCGTCCCCGTGCTTTTGAACGAGTTTGTCCATGGAGACGATGTGGACGATGCCGATCGCAAAACAGACAGCATGGCCAAGGCTGTGGTAAATATGGGCGTCGCTCTCGAGAAGATGTGGACTTACCATAAGCGCGCTCCTCTGCATGATATTCGGAGGCTTCTTGAATGGCTTGAGGCCGTCTCGCCAGTTTATAATAACTATCTCGACGTATGGCGATTGGGATTCCAGGATCTCCTTGTCAATCTCGCACCAGCCAGCGGGAGGGTCGACGAGAATGACTCGCTCCTGAATGCGCTACCTCGCAACGAGGACGGCGATGTGCTCAGCTACAACGGTGAACGGGTGGATGTTGCGTACTTGTTGAAGCGGCCCCTGATCCGAATAAAGTGGATGTACAAGTTTCTCCGGGTGAGTTCCACTTGCACAACCATTGTCACCGCTAGCTTGGCGTGAACTGTCACTGACATGAGCGGTGTGTATGTAGGCGGCTGTTATGGTCATCAAGACTCCAGAAACCGAGGACTTGCTCAAATTGTACGGCAACCTCCAGGAGAAGGCCCGTACACGGCATCGCGAGGAGTTTGCTCGCCTGACCGATGAGGACGCCAACAACACCGACACAACCCGCGCCAGAGACCTTCGCAACCTACGACCACTGGACAGCGTTCGAATCGACCCGACCAGGCAAGTGGCAGCTAAAGACTCCTTTGAGATGGATCTTGACCACTCGAGCGGCCAACGACTTGAGTGCCAAATCGAACTCATGCAGCGAGACAGGGTCAACGTTCCTTCTGACATGGGTGATATCCTCATCCGTGACATCAGCAACAAGGCCAAGCCATGGCTGCTTTTCCCGCCTGTTCCAAGGCAGTACATCTCGGCAAGAAAAGGCGAGAGTCCCAGGAGCATGATTGTCATGATCCGCGGTAGACATAACGGCGACGAGTGGTATGAGCTGATCAAGCTGTCCACTACCGAAGAGGCCCAGACCACGGACTGGCTGGATATTTTGGGTAGCGACCCTATGCCTCCCCTCTCACGACCTAAGCCGAGGATGAGCATGAGCCTTATCCAGGTCAGCTCACCAAAAGCGGACGACCTCGACGTCCCGATTGGTGAACCTAGCGTTATTGGCGCGTCTGATGATGAATCCAAGACGCCTAGCCGATATCATAAGCGGCAAGCCAGCGCTCCAGTTACCTCATACCCGGCACCAAATAAGCACATCCCGTACAGCGAGTCTGTGGATATCTTCAGATCTCAGCCGCTTACGCCAGCTTACGGAATCGAACCTGTGCCTATTCCTCGGCCCCTCAACATCAAGGGTGCAGCTCCCGTTCAACCTCCGGTGGAGCTTGCTCCTTCGACCCGGGTGAAGAGGCGCACATCCTCTCCGCTCAAGCACGAGTATCACCCATCTGATACCGATTCGGAGACTGAAGACTCCGCCCTCAGCGACTCTGAATCATCTTCATCCTCCAGTGATGAGCTGGACGAGAATGATGTTCCTGATACGATCCCAGGTTATAGCATCAAGCAGCCTTTGCCTCAGATTGTTGAAGAGTCTGTCGTCTCAGACAACACCATAGCACCATCACAGTCAGCTTCTCAGGTTGGAGCGCCTCATCCAGGGCAGCAAACACCGCGAGAGAGGCCTGTGCAGAGCTTCGTTGCATCAGTTTCATTCTGGTCCAACAGAAAGGGTATTTGGAGGGAGATCAACACCGAACCCTCGCGCATTCTGATCTTCCCCGGAAGTATGGAGGTACATATGCTCCACGAAAACCCCGAGAACAAGCAGGCATACCCTCTGCAGGCCTCTGGCACGTCCGAGGTCGACATGGCGAACAGAGAGGCTGGAGGCATTGTCCCTCTCATCTGCCTCGTCCTCACGCCAGTGGTCATGATCCGCCGTAGTACGGCGCTTGACCTCGAGGTCCGCAGCCGCGTATCTCCCGAGTCTCGCCTCAGCAGCATTGACAGCGGCATGTTCCGCTTCCGCGCCGCGAGCCAGGATGAAGCGAAGGCCCTGTACGAGGCGGTGCACCAAAGCCGGCTGAACAATGCTAGGTACATTCAGCTTGCCGAGGAGGCACGCGTCCGTTCCTTTGGGCAACAAGTATATAACGATTCTGGCGCCGGTAGCGCCGACGGCACTGAAACCTCCAGTCGTCGGAAGGGCATCTTTGGCCGCAAGAACAGTTATCGCGCATCCACTCGCGCGCCCAGCCAACACAGCAACGCAACAACCAGCGTCTCGGCCATAAGCTTCTTGCGTCGCTTGCTCGGCGGCGAGAACAAGTCGTTCAACATCGGCAAGTCCACCGTCGACAAGCAATCCCGCCCCGGCTCCATCGCCGGAAGCGGCGGTGCCCACGGCGGCGGCGGCAGCGGCAGCCTGTACTCCAGCGGCTACTCCTCCGGTACCGGCGGCAATGACTCCTCAACACCGCCGCGAAGCGCATCCGCCTCCGCCTCCGGCTCCGGCAGCCGCTCCCCCAGCCGCTGGAGCACCGGTCTCGCCAAGCCCTTCACCCCGGGCCAACCGCTCGAGATCCGCTGCCACTTGAACGTGCAAAACAACCGCTGGGCCGACAAGGGCGACTGCATCTTGCACATCGGCCGTCCTCCCCCCGGAGTCCGTCAGGAGCTATCACTCTACCACGGCCTAGAGAAGCGTATCATCGTGACGCACGCCACCAAGAAGGTTTCCGACAAGCCACTCATTTTGTTAGATGCCGTGCTGGGATCCAAATCCTTCAGCATGCTGGGAACAAAGGGCATCATGTGCAGCGTCTGGGAAAACCTGCGCGACGAAGAAGGAAACGTCGGCTTGGCGCCCCGCACGGGAACGGTCGCCGGCAGGGTGACCAAGTGGTGCTTCCAGTGCAAGAGCGTGCAGCAGGCCAACTGGATCTTTGGCATGGTCACGAGCGAGGTGGAGGGGTTGATGCTCTAGGCGATGCGTCATCCCCCGAATCCGACGAATCTGGATCTGGAGCCTGTGTTGGAAGGTATTATGGAAGGAAGTGTTGGGGAGAGCAGTAGTGGAAGTGGAAGTGGAGGCGGCAACGGGAGTAGTGGGAGTACAGGTAGTAGCAATGGGTATTATGGCTACATGCCAACACCATCAATTATACTGCGAGATGAAAGAAGAAGGGAGATGTGGAAGAGGAAACTAGACGAAAGTCCGGAAGGGAAACGGAGGAGGGAGAAGAGAGCGGAGGAGAGGTTGGTCAGGTTGATGACGATGTCTGCTGCCGGCGCCGCGTAGTGTAGTGCAGCACTGCACTACAGCTGGCGACGCAGACTTTTGGTGGAGTTTGGTTGGGTTTTTGCATGCTTGTCAACTGCAAACTACAACTATCTTGCAGATGGGCCGCGCCGGTGATGAGCGCTCCATGCATTCATTGCGTTGGTTTTTTTTCTATATGTTCTATAGCCTGCACGGCTTCTTATACCCCCTATACATATACCTATACCTATATCCCTCCCTCTACATGGCTTCAGCGAGCGAGCCTGAGGGGGGGTTTTCTTATTTGTTAATCACTATTCACTTTTTGAGAATCATCTTTCTCTCCTCTGTTTCGATTATCGTGATACCAAATTCTCTCATCCCTCGAGGAATTCTGCATTGTCTTCTGGAATATACCAAATGGAGTTTCTGGTCAGAGGCAAGGGTTGGGTACATCCAAGTTTAGTCTAGATAGAGACCACTACATCTGGTCAAGTAAGGGTTTATTGATCAGGGTTGCTGCGCAGGTGTAGTTGTAATAGTCTAGTCTACCGGTTCAAACACTCGAATGACATACACCTCACTCAGGTCAGAGGTATCTTCAAACTTCAAACCGACATTCAATCTCCACTTGAATTTTGTCTAAAAGACCTACCTACCTCCTTAGGTTTCTTTTTGCTCCCCCGTTAGGTTGTTCTGCGCTCGTTTTCACCTCCCCGGAACCTCCCCATATCTCCATACCTCTAAACTCTAGAATAGTCTCGTTCCCTCCTTCCGAGCCAGAGAAAGAAAGAAGCCTTTGACCATGTGACCCGACGGCAAAGGATTTTTCACACTCCTCAGTCTTCTTCCGCTTGTCCCTGTCATTAATCGGGAAGGAAGGAAGGAATGAAGGAAGGAAGAAACAACACCTACCTTACCTACGTACTACCGTACCTTCCACTTCGCTCACTCTTCTTCGAGCTTCCTCCCGTCCATTTTGTCATCTTTGCTTGGGTGCCGTGGGTGGCTCTTTCCTTGGATGGCAGGTAGGTGTGTTTCATCTCACATCACATCACGCACACGCACGCTCTTTCCCACTTCCACTTCCACTTCCAGTTCTAGACTAGACAAATGAGTTTATCGCGCCTTCCTTCCTTCGCCGCCAACGGCCGGCCTAACGGTTGAGATATGTTCCTTTCGAACCAACCAACCAACTAACCCTTCCACTCTCGGGCTCTCCATACCTCTAGTGAAGATATCTGACCGGCCGGTCTAATCAACACACACGCTCGTTATTCCAGAATCTCGATTTCTCAGCGGTTACAAACATCCGGAGATATATATATATAGACTAGCATGAATAAAACCAGGTTAACTAACGTCCATCCAGCATGAGGTGAGGAGGACCTTTCCACCGTTCGAACGTACCTTCCTGCGTTCCTGCCGCCTTCCCCACGTAGACATCGGACGACAAGAACCCTTCCCGCCCGAGTGCCCCATACCTAGAGGTACCTGCCGCAGGCAACCATATAAGGTCCCTTATCTGACCCCTTTACCACAACGGGTGGCCCTGTGGTCTTATGGCGCAGTGGTTCTTCCCGTTGATGAAAAACATTGCCGGGTGCGCGGGTACTCGAGGTACAGTTTTCGTATAGTCGCAGCTGGAGCATTATAAAGGCGTGCGAATCGTAGAACCACGGCGCCTTCAACCTAGACTTCAACCTAGATGCTCGGTTATTTTTGGAAGTTAGGGCACAAGTGTTAAATATTGACTGCATACACTACCAATATTCCTACATTACATATCAATCCAAACACGTTTCCCCAACTCATATATCTAACTATATAAGGATGGACTCTGCCGTCCATTCCTTCCTTTCTTTTCTTCTCTTCTTTAACCAATTCAAGCATTCTCAACCTCACTCATCTACCGTCGTGTTATTGTGCACTCAGTAGATCTCAACAACAAGAACAAGTATGTCAAACACCAAGGTAGAACAAATAACCAGTTCCATGTACAACTAAGCTATTATATGATTATGGTTAAGTATTAACAGACCCTGTGAGATCCTGTTCAACCATCTTGTCCTAATCGTCCCTCGCCTTCTTCTCCTGCAACGCCAGCGGGAAGAAATGTTAATATAGTCCAAACCTTATAACATGTAGTCCACCTTGAATCGATCAAGGCCACCAAACCGAAAAAAGACCATATTAACACCCAGCACATTAACAGGGACCAGCTCAGCTCACATGTACACCGCGCAAGAAAATGTTCCAGACCAGCAACAGATCCTGTCTCTTTCTTTCGCCTGATCACTTCAAGATACTACATATCCTTCTTCCCCATCGGCAAGATTCATCATCCATTGTCTGTCCACCTATCATCCTCCCTCCTCTTTGCAGATCCTCCCATATCCACAAAACAGTATTATTATCGACCGAGTTGAGGTGCAATAACAACCTCACTCAAGGGATTCGTCAAACCAAAACAAACGCCGCCCAATGCAACCTGTAGACACCGTTGGCCTGATCAACGGTGCTAAGGATTCAAAAACCAAATACCAAAAATCCAACGCTTTTTTTCCAGAGAGCCCAAGGTCAGACGCATCAATGTCCTGCCTTGTCTCTCAAAACAACTTCAAGTCCCTGTCCAGAGAGGACCAAAAAACATTATCAACAACAGTCGCTATGCAGTTGGGTATCATGACCATCCAGTGATGTCCGTAAGGAGTGTGTGTCTAAAGCTCGCCGAGTATGTCGTCGAGATGCAAGTGTCGCAAAAAGGAGTGTCTATGAGTTGGGTATAAATGCGATTCGTCGATCCATATAAAAGGAGTGTCTATAGTTCGTCATGGGATCCAGCCGTTGGGTATATATAAAGGAGTGTCTATGCGTCATTGAAAGGAGTGTCGTTAAGGAGCGTCGTGTGCTGTCAAGTGCAGCGTCGTTGCAGTCGTTAAAGGAGTGTGAGATGCATCATGATGCGTTGAAATGCTGCAAAAATATCGTCGTGTGATCGTAAAGGAACGTGGTATGCAATCGCGTCTGTGTCGAAAAGAAAGAAAATGCTGGAAAGAGATGAACACCGGATGCCCGATTCAGTTCGATGTGATGTGCTAAGGCCTTTCGTCCTTTATGTAAGGCCTTTCGTCCTTTACATTCTCATCGTCCAGGTAATTCGAAGGTATGGAGGATATCGAGATGCTGTGGCCATGGCTCGAGGGTGGTGTGAACACCATCGATGGGGTTGGCGACTCTGGGAGCGGAAGCCTGGTGGAGTATTGTCCGGAACCCAGGAACGAAGGGGCGAGGCTGTGTGGGGGGCCGGGCCAAAGTACGGTAAAGTCGTCCGGAGGCGGGTAGGTGGGCGTTGAGCTTAGCATTGTGGGAGTCCTGATGGCCATGTTAATTAAACCTTTGCAGAGCCGGACAGCGGCCGGTGTGACGATCAAAGATCCTAGACCGTCCACACGGATTGGATTGGATGGACGAACCCGACACCATAAGGGCTGTGACCGCCCATCGTGGGTGTAGTAGCGGAGAAGCCCATGTCATACGAGGGGTATTCGTCCGGATCGCTGTAGGTGATGGAAGCCGCGTCGTTATAGTCACCGAAGGTGCTCGTGGTGGGACTGTATGCTGCATAGGACGGGCTCGGGATGCTCAGGTATTGTGGTTGGCCAAAAGGTGCCGCGATCGGGAGCGATTCCGGGATGACGGACAACTCCTCGGTACTGTAGCTGAAAGCCGGCCTCTCTCCGTATGGCAGGTACTCGGACGACGACGCCGCGGACAAGGGCATTGGTGAACCTTCGTTTGCGTAGAAGTTCTCGAACACTGGGAAAGACGGGGTACGGATCGGTTGATTCCACCCCATGCGAGACCGGAATTCGGAGACTGTGTCAATAGGGAAGTTCATCAATGCAAGAGGGGTTGCCAAATCACCCTCGAGTTGGCCAGAAATGTTCATGGAATGCAGGCGACGCGCAATCTCCTCAACCGGGCCAATTGTCAAACTTCCAAAGTAAGCGGCGCCGATCTCAGGGAAGAGGCGCTCCATGACCAGAGCAACTGTGTAGTAATGAGCAATGATGACCAAGGCACTGGGCGAACCATGGGTCTGTTGCAGGTACATGACGGGGAGCCAGAACAGCCACGTGCGCAGGGGTCTCAAACGCTCAAACTGTTGGGCTACCGACAAGGTAGGGCTAACCTTGCGAGCACCCTTCAGGAAGCTGATGAGCTGGGCAACGGACTTGGTGTCCTCCCTGTTGTGCTTGAGGTGAGACTCAACCTTCTGGAGCTGCTGCAGAGTCCTCTGAAAGGCGTCAAGGTCTTCCTTGCGCGGCTGGCTGGGCTTGTGATCAGGGGCAGGAGACGGGGGAGCGGTTGGAAACGTGCTGCTTTCGGCAATGAAATCACCGAACTGAGACTCGTGCTTCCAGGGGTCCATAGCCTCAATGACCTATTATTTCCACGTCAGCATTCGCGCCTCTTTGTAACAGCGTACGCTCGCAGTCAAACGTACCGATGAGGTTCCCTGCATGAGCTGGGTCCAGCTTCGCCTGTAGAAGCATTTTGAGTTAGCCCCTCCTTGTCTGTGTAGCCGGAAGGCTGCAGTATATTGCTTACCAATCTGTGGCTTGCCACGACAGAACAAGAGATGCGGCAAGGATGGCGTCAGAAGTGTCCTTCGAGAAGGTCCCAATGGCTTCCTGGAGACCCTTCAAGGCAATACCCCGATGCTCATAAGCCATGTTTCCGACCAATGGACAATCGGTCAAGTATGCAATGTGCATGGCAGAGAAAGCCAACAGCGAATGCAAGACATAGTTATGGGTAGCACCAATCTTGATGATTCTAGAAAACCTGTTAGCGCCCAGCCCAAGCCAGTGTTGACGTGTCAAGTGGTAATCTTACGTCGGGATCTGCCGAGTCCACAAAGTGAAGCCGTTGGCATCAATTTCCATCATCTGATTGCTGATCGAGGCAACGTGGTGGATCAGGCGCAACTCGTCTGTGCTGAGATACTGAGGCGCCGGAGTCGGGTAAATGTTAAGGTTCGGGAACGGGAAGAGACCAGTGCGCTGCCACTGTTCAATGACAGCCTCGATCTCGGGCGTCCACATGAGATCCGGCTTGTCAGGAGAAGTAGACCGGTCCTCAGCGACAGGAATGTCATTGTATGGACAACGGATCTTGTGCTTGGTGCAATTGCGGCACTGGGGAAAGCTTTCATCACAACGAATGTGGCGGCGCTTGCTGTATGATTGTTAGAAAGCAGTTCTGCATACAACTTGTCACGGGTTGAGTAAGCTTACCATGTCTCGCATCCCTTTCGGGACTTGGTGTGACTAGAACAAATGTCAGTAAAAGACAACCTGAAGTGAGTGCACAAAGAAGCTTACCTGCGCCTAGGAGGACCACCGCCGGGACCAGCCATTGTGACAGTAAGATAGTTGAAAAGTATTAGCGAGAGAACTATAGCAGGGTTAGCACATATCTCCATAAATGCAAAACATACGGAGAAACGAGGCACTGACAAGAAGCAGAGACACAATGGACCCTGGTGACGTCGAAGTAGCGAACGTGATGGGTTGATGCGAGGACAGGAAGCGTAGGCTGTGCCTTATACCGATGACAGGTACTGAGACTGCAACGTTGCCTTCCTGAAAGGTCGATCTAGAGCGAGCGTGGTTCGGAGTAGTTGTTAAACGTGAACAACCTGATAGTCAGGTGCTTTGAGCGTTGACTACCTGGAGGAGCAAGTCGGTGTTGGTGCTGAGTAACCGGTTGCTTGTGCCGAAGTCGTTCACAGTTGCGTCGTCTTGATAACCTCAATATCCAAGATCTTCCCTAAAATCCAGATCCAAATCTCCTCCTTTCCTTCACCGTGGTAGCGATCGTGGGTTGTGATAGTTTTGCTTATTGCGTGTTTCCAAATGAAACCGGAAATCCAAAGCGAATGCGGGCGTCGGTTTGTGGCTGATTTGAGTTTTCAAACAAGCGAGTAGGTCTTAGTAGGTGTATGGCAACATCTACTTTGGTGATTTTGATTATTGTCTCCTTTTTTTCTGTTTTCCGTGGATATCCAACGAGGGTGGTTGGTTAAGCGAGAGTCAGATGAATGGGGGTGTTGTGATACGGATCTCCTGCGCTCTTGTTCGATTCCAGATGAGTTGTTGTTGTTGAAGCCGGAGCGTGGACTGGAGCGAGTGAGTTGAGCTGATGAGACAGAGTTGAAGTCTTTTCGTTCTTTTCCAAGTGGTGAAGGCTTCAGTGTTGTTTCGCAGGGTTGAGTTGAGTAGGCGTAGCGAGGGGGGGGGGAGTTTCCTTCCTTCCAAATCTTTCCGTCTCTCCAAACCACCAAGAAAAATGAAACAAGCGAATGACAGGAGTCGACGAGGACTTCCTAGAGGTGCTAAAAGCGAATGTGGGAGGCGGAACGACAGCGGAGGACTGAGAATCAGACCTGAGGTTGATGATGTACAGTTGGTGAGATTAGGTCGAAAAGGAGAGGGGGCACAATGTGTCTGGGAGAAGCCCAAGTGTTAAATAGCGCCAGTGCGGACTGGGTCTTGGTGGGCTTGGGTGCAGACGGGCGGGCGTGACGGGCGTGACGGGGGACTGCTGGGTAGCACTTGCGCACTTGGCCCTGTCTGCGGACTGGTGCAGTTTCCGCGCACCTTCCATGTTCTCTTTGGGGTTGGGCAGAGCCGCCTGATCATTGGCTTACACGCCGGGGGGCCCTGTCACTGCCACCATCAACACTCCTTCCCACTGTGTGCTCCAATGCTCCAGTTGCTCCAGTGCTCTTTCCGTGTATCCATGGATTGTTCCCCCATCTGCCACAACACCAAACCTGTGCCGTCATTGGCTGCGAGTCCGGGCACCGTCTGAGCAGAGGAGGGGACGGGACTCCGAAAGAAGAGAACCCCCAAAAATGTATCCACACTGTTGCTCGCTTGCCCTGCACACCCACCACAATGCGACCTGAATGGGCACTGCATCGCTGCAACCACTGCACCGACTCTGCACAATCCACTCGCTGCTGCAGGCAATGAGATGGACGGGAGGTGCATGAGGTGCCCGCTGCATGGACATCATGATCGAGGGCGAGCGCTGGTGAGGTATCGGTACCGCGGTAGACGACGGTGCCGATGAGCATCATCATCAACAACAACAACAACAAAGTGGAAATCAAAGAGCCACTGCTAGGAGCTACAACCTTACGCTACTATAGTACTTGGTACACGTAGGGCACAAGCACACTGTTCGACAAGGTAGATGGATGGATTGATGGGTTGGATGGGTGGATGCGTGTAACCGTTCGATTCTCTGTCTCTGTCTGTCACTAGCGAGTCCTCCACTCTGCACTCTGCAGTTGTCAGTGGTCGATGTCGGCCTGATATCCAAATTCATCGACGACCCATCCAACGGCCCATCCGGCAGGTAAGCAACTGGCATCCACTTACACAGTAAGCACAGGGCGCAGCAGCAGACATGACAGCAACATCAAGCATGAAGCAACAACGACAGCTTCTGGTAACCTGCCCCATCCGGTTAGCTGTACATACTATGTATGTATGTATGTAGACTTCTTCGGTTTTGGGGTCCGTCATCCTGACTCCCGACTCTCCCAAAGATATGGAACGGACGCTTCCATCTTGCTGGCATTGAGGATGAGTGATGAGTGATCGGCCACGGTTCAACTTGCTGACAGACAGAGAGACAGACGGCGAGAGCAAAGAAGAAAAAATGAAAAAGAGGCAGTTGCGACAAATTACCCCCGATTGGAAGCTACCTACTCCACCCAAAGGCTACCTTACCTTACATTTAACACTACACACGGAATAAAGGGCACAGCCGGGCGGAAACGTGTGAAGGACCATGGAAGCGAACAGTGCGGAACTGCCATGATCATCCATCCAGTTTCTTGGGAACAAGGGTGATGAGGGTTGGAATGACGGAACAGGATCTCCTCCGGTTTTTTCTGTGTCCCCTTTCCACTCTTTGGATATCAGAGATGGAGGAGGCTTGTTCCTGTTATTGCGATACCATTGCGGAGACGGAGACACGGGCAGGCGGGCGGATAAACCGATTGAGGTTGTGTTCGATTCCAAACCGCCTGTGTGGAGCCAAGGTCTAAGTCACCTCCGGCAACCCAGATTAGTAGGGTTAGTTCCAGGGGTATAGGGGGCCGGTGAGAGGCCCCCGCGTATGAATGTGAATTTGGCGCTCGGAAAGAAGTTGTTTTGAGCTTTCGTTGATGTCGTTTGAGATGAAGACTTTCTGGTGATGGTTGTCGTGACTTTGGCCGCGCAGACTTGATGCCAAGCTCCGCCAAGCTTGGGGTCTTGGCTCGAGCTTGGCTGTTAGTTTGTATGGCCCCACACAGGCGGTTTGGAATGGGACACAGTCGGTTTATCCGGGTCGCACGGCAGAGCGAAAGAAAAAAAAAGAAGTGGAAGCAAAGCAGGCGTTCGAAGCGAAGCGAAGCGGAACAACGAACGGGCCATCTACCTGCAAAGGGCAAAAGAGGTGAAAGAGCCGACACCGATCGTTGTGAATGGAGCTCTCTCTCTTCTCCATCCATCCCCGGTACCCAACCAACTGAGGAGGAGACTGGAGAGGGCAGGACCTCGCTCCCCCCAGGCCACTGTTGTCGCACCATGTCATCGTCCCTGCACGTGCGTGTGTGGTGGTGTTGGTGTTCCTTGTACTGAAATGGCGAAGTACTTGGGGGCTTCTGGGCGCCAAGCTTTCTTTGCCCCCTCTTTACTGTCTAAAGAGGGGGCGCCAAAAAGTTGGGACAGTATTTTAATCTGGGACACATCAAAATCTTGGCATATCCTATAGTAAAATGTTAATAGGCAAGACAGCGCAATACAAAACCACCACATAGCATTTTTCTAAAATTCTACCAAAATTTGAAGGCAGAGTTCTTACATAGAAATGCCATTTTAGAAGCTTTGAGAAAATCATCTAAGAAAATGAATGGATGGCAGGGTCCGAATGCATTTTATTCACCAAACGTCATCGCTTTTAGTGTGCATTAAACTGTTGACGACTGCAGTAAGAACGCTTGCATTAGGATTTTCTCCCCAACGCCTCGATCAAAATTGATGCAACTTTGAGGGTGTCTTTTTGAATACTCCTTTTTGCTTCCTGAATTTTTTCCGAATTTTGAAAAATAGTTTCATGGTTAAATAGTTCATCGCGAGGCTTCACTAACAATTTTCTGTGGTGAACGCTCTGTTTTCAGATTGTCCCAGAATAAAATACTGTCCCAACTTTTGGGCGCCCCCTCTTTAGACAGTAAAGAGGGGGCAAAGAAAGCTTGGCGCCCAGAAGCCCCCAAGTACTGTTGTAGCACTGTTAGTTAGGTAGCAGTAGTAAAAAGGGGACTACCTCTAGTTTACACTAGTAGAGGTAGGTAACGTAACGTGATCGACGGCCGAGGGACACAGTAAGGGTACTCTACTCTACTTTACCATTACCTCAACTCTTTGAGGAAATGACAACGTGATACCATTTTTGTTGCACTCCAGTGTGATGACATGAGGCTCATCCTTTGAACTATTGTCTAGGCTCGGAACCCTAGGCTCTCACTGTCAAACTTGTCGACCTCGAGGCATGCGGTGCGCACAGAAATAAACATCTGGGAACATCCTCGGCCTCATCTTGAATGCTTAGGCCTGCGGTTCGTTTCCGCTGTTGTCAGGTTTTGTTTCACGTCCTGTCTTCGCGAGGCCCCTGTTCCTTGGAGTTTACAGAACCATGATGAGAGCCTCAAGTTGCTCCGCTAGCTGGTCCGTAATTGAGGGCTCTTTCTGTCTTTATCAACAACACATCACCTCCGTCCTTTCGCCAAGTCCGATTCGTCGCCAAGGCCTTGGCTCATGTTGAAGTTTGTCAAAGTGTTCTGTGAGCGTGTGTGCTGTCAGGTGGTGGGTTTTCTCCGAGCTTCTAGCGCCTGTGGGGTGCAGCACACACATTGACAGCGGTAGGTAAACGGATCATACCCATACTGTGTGAAAAGATTACTACCGTCATCCTTCATCTCCAACGGCGGCGGCTTTGCTCGTCAATCTCGACTTTGTGTACAATGGCCACAGAGCGCTTCTCGTTCGACCAAGAGCGCTTGTTTCTACTGGCCGAGCATCTCTCAGGGTAGCTGACTCTGATCTATTCTGGGCCCTTTTGTTCAGGCCGCGGCACAATAGCAGATCCGGCAAGAGCTTGCCGAGGTTAGCTCAGGTCTGTCATGATCATCACTCAGCTACGGAACTCAAGTGGGAGCCAAGAGCCTACTACTCCACCTTTTTTTCGGGCGGTCCTTCTTTTTGTTCTGTCGCCTTGTCCTGCGCGCCCGAGCGCTCGAGGTTGTCATCCATATCGAGTTAGTTGTAAGTTTACCTTTGAGCAAGCTGATTACGGCAT